TACAATCGAATCAAAACTGTAACATCTTGAAAAAAGTAATCACTAATTAACAAAGTTAAATTAGGCTAATTAAGTAAATTAATGTAGTGTGTAGTCATAGAGGTCTAACAAATGCCTTGAGTTGTGATTTCGACCCTATATTTGGGGCCAAAATGAAGAAGGGTCAAACAAATGCCTTGGGATATGTTACGTGCTTATGCAATTGAATTGAGTAAAAGTTGGGATAAACATTTGTCACTAGTGGAGTTTGCCTACAGTAACAGTTTTCATGTGAGCATTTAAATAGCTCCTTATGAAGCATTGTATAACAGGAAGTGTCAATCTCCACTTTGTTAGACTGAATTAAGTGACGTAGTATTCTAGGTTTGAATTTGGTTGATCAAACTACAAAAAAAGATTGAGATGATTTAGCAAAAGTTGTTAACATTTCAGAATCAGTAGAAAATTTATGAGGATAAGAAGAGGAGACATCTAGAATTTATAGTAAAGGACCATGCTTTCCTAAAAGCTTTGCCTATGATTGGAATTTGGAGATCCATTAGCGCTAAGAAATTTACTCCTAGATTCATAGGAGCTTTTAAAATTCTATAAAAGATCAGACCGCTTGCATATATAATCCCTCACCATATCACATATAGGGCATACATGACGTGTTTAACATTTCACAATTAAAGAAGTACTAAACTGACCCATCTCACATCATTGAGCCCGAGGAGAATCTAACATACTGAATTGAGCTAGAGAGAGTAGCTTATATGAAGGAGAAGTAGCTAAGAAACAATACCACTTACCTAGTTAAGGTGATATGGAAAGGAATAACTTCTAGAGATGCTACTTCGGAGACTAAGGAGAAGATGAATCAATAATATCCTTATTTGTTTTAATAAAGTATGTTTTAGTTGCTCATTGAATTTTAAGAACAAAATTCTTAAAAGGAGAAAGAATTGTAACATCTTAAATAATTAACCAATGATTAACTAAGCTACATTAGGCTAATTAAGTAAATTAATGTGGTGTGTAGTTAGAAGGGTCTAACAAATGCCTTGGGTTGTGGTTTCAGCCTTATATTTAGGTTCAAAATGAAGCAAGGCCACTCAAACCTCAAAAGGGGAGAAAATCAAGAGTTTAATCTATGAAACGTGTCGCAATGTATACAACATCTGCCATGGCACTCGTGTGGAAACTCTTGAAGGAAGGATCTCTTTATGCCATGCACCACATCAAGTGATGTATGCGCTATGGTGTATGGTTGGATTTCAAAAATAAGTGCATCTATTGTCAATCAAGAAATTGAGAAGAAGGGAGAAAACAAGAGTGCACACCAAGCTTTGTTGAGGCTCAAAAATTTGGACCTTGGTGGACATTTTGGAGCTTCCAAACACTAAGGGTAAGTCTCTTATATCGAATCCCTCTCTTTCTCTTCCATTTCTCTAGTTGTAGAAGTTAGGGTTAGTTTGAGATAATAATTTTCTAACCTTTAGAGCTATAAATCTAAACTTATTGACCTAAATGGAGTTAAAAGAAATTTTTAAGGTTATTTAAATATAGTATTAATAACCATATGGGTTTTGGTTGTTGTAGGGTAATAAATACCTGAAGATTTTCATTTAATGGGATTGTTTAAGGTATTGGATAGCTATTAATGATGGTTTGGTGGTTTATTGGAACTAATGTGAGTCAAAGGAAGTTGATAGACTCTATGTGTAGGCTTAAATGTGAGGAATTAGAATTTTAGGAGTTAGGAAGTGTTGAGTAAATATTGAAAATAATCTTGATATTGATATTAATGATAATTGATATAGTTAATTGTAGATTAATTATTTTTTAGCACCATTTGACCTAATTGAAGCTTTTGAAGTATTTGTTATTAAGGGCTAAATTTTTAACCTTTCAAAGTTTGAGGTAATTGGGAGGAAATTTAGTTTGTGTATTTGCTTATGAAATTGATTATAAATGTTTATGAAATTGTTTAAAAATCATGTGATGTTGGAAGATTATTTTGGTGCAATTGCGGGAACTTGATGATCATTTCATGTGATACAAGTGAAAATGAAATGAAGGTTTTAACAATAATTTTGAAGATGATCATGGCTATGTGGAATCTGTGTGAAAGAAGTTAATTGTGAGAGTGAAGAGATTTTATAATGAAAGCTATAAATTGAAATCTATTCTTAGTTGAGTTATTATATAGACATGTGTGATTGGCATGTGTAAGGATACGAGAATTTCATGTTATGAAAATGATGTTTGAATATTCACAGGCTATAATATGATGATTTAATAAAGTTATGTGCTATGAGTCAAGCATGGGTTACACTTTATGATCATTTGTGGAAGGAGTTCGCCCTAAAGATAAGTATAGAGATTTGAAATTCACATGGTAAGGCTGCCATTTGAAACTCAATAGCTTGCCTCTATTTATTTATTGTCCTACTTGTTCTTCGAGAGACCGTCCTACTCATTCACTGAGGGACTCAAATCTAACTAGTCTTCATTAGTTCATGAGAAGGCTAACTTAAAGGTGCAATACCCCATAATTGCTAATATTGGGGAAACCATAATTCACAAGTGAATGTAATGGCCTTAGCTTAGCAGCTCCTCATAAGTGAAAGATTTGGGTAGTTTGATTACATAGACAAAACCCATTAAATAGCCAACAATTTCATGTCAGAAGTATCAGAAGGGTATAAGAATGATATTGATCATGCATATCATACTTTAACCACATAATTGTTATTATAGTGGTCTTGCATCTTACATAAGAGTATATGGTTGTTAGTATAATGACTCTCACTTATTAAAATTTTCACATCACATGATTGTTAGTTTTGTTACTAGATGAATGATATGGTTGAGTATATAAACATGTGTTAGTAGACTATGCCATATGCATTACTATAATTGATTGACATGTATTTGTATAAGTTAGATTAACCTTTATTACTAAGTAATTGTACTCACTCTTCTCTCTTCAGTATTATAGGTATTAGCTTGTTGGGTCAAGATGGAAATTTCCTGAGGCATAGGATTTGTTGTCCTAACTAGTAGGCCTCACTTCTTTTAAACAGTTAGGTGTATAAATTTAATGATGTTGCCAATTAGGAGTCACATTTTTATGATTACTTGCACTATATTTGATTCGTTGAGTTAAATTATATATTTTGAGCTCTAAGTTATATGTATGATTAATTCTTGATATCAAGTCAGGGGGGAAATATTAATGCAAGTATGATATTGATGAAATTATTGATTGTAAAGGAATATGGTTATACTTCATAGTAATTTGGCTTCTCCTTCTCTTCTGATGTTAAGGGGTTAAGCATAAGAATTGTAATTGGATTGTTGTGGTATATTACACAAGTTATTTTTAGTCTATCAAGTATGATCTAGGGGTATTTATGAACTTATGGCACTTAGTAAAGAATTTAAATACCCAAGTGGAGTTTGAAAAGTAAAAAAAAAAAGTGAATTTGTAAATAAGAGTCCAATTATTGAATGAAAAATGTTATGATGGTGAAACTAATGCTATTAGCTAACATTTTAAAGAAGCTTTCTGTAAACACTTAGTTTACCTCAATCAGACACGAGATGAACAATTCGAGCATGTTAAAAGTTCATCCCAGGTGCTATCTTTTGACAATAACTATGCTGTCAAAAACTATGAAATGGACTGCGGCATATGGTGCTTATGCTGCAATGCATGGTATAATGAAGGCATATCACAAAGTATTGAGTGCAAGCCTTGGTGCCCCTTTAAATTTTATTGAAAAGCGATGTTTTTCCAACTATATTGCAAATGTTTGTAATAATTTGTCATCTTATGCTTCCGTATACTTAATTTACTCTAATTTATTGTTCATGAAAGTATATTTAAGTATTTTAAAAGTTTTAAAAACTTGAGATCTCATTTATATGGTTTTACAAACTTGGTTGGGTTAATCTCATAATTATCTTGATTTTGAAGTTGATTATGAATTATAAAGGGTGACTTTACAAATACTGTAAAGATCAAATTACAACAAGTTTAAATTCAAGGATTAAGTTACAATTAAGTAAAAACTATAAGAATTAAATGATTAATTTTTTTTCTATTTCATATTAAACTCCCAAATTATAAGGAATAATACTAAAAGATAATCAAATAATTTTCACTTAAAACTTCCAAATATCACATGATATAACCTCTATTTAAATTATTCAGGCAAAATAATTACATATCTCTTTTACCATTTATTTTCATAAGTTATTTAAAGTAATCTTTTAAAATAATTAAAAATATGTTTTTTATGTTTTGATTATTTTTAAAATCTCAAACAGATAAAAAAAAAATCTTGCAAAAGTAATTTGGCCAAAAAAAATTAATAATTTTTAAGAAAAAAGTTAAAGGAATCCATCATGAAGCTAGAACTCAGAAGTGTGTGTGTGTGTATTTAACACAAGTCAAGATACTTCCTCCTTTTATTTGTAAAACACATTTTAAAAAAAAAATTGGTCCAAAATGTAAGACATCTTATAATAATCAAATCACTTTTTTTTTTAACCTTTTTTTGATTAACATGAAAGCATTCAATTTAGTTGTATCATGTTTGTTTGTTTTTTTTTTTTATGAAGATAGATCCTTAATAAAAAAAAAGATCACAAGTTAGTCAAGTCTATTAAACATTCTTCTTTCATCATCCACTACCTTAATACAATAAGGTGAGGTTGATCAAAGTTAATATAACATATAAAATCATTCTGAGCATGACTGGCTAATAGATGAGTACAAGTGTTGGCCTTCCTAAACTTGTAATTCAAATGAATATTTCAAACCTAATAGAAACAAATGCTAGCTTAGTTGATAATTTCTCTACATGGGTGATAAATAATATCACTTCTAATAATCAGGTTAATGTAGTTATATAATGATTTAAAATCAAACAATGAAAAATGCATTTTCATGTTTTTATGATACCCAAAAAAGATAGTTTTTTTTAAAATATATGAAATGATTAAAAAAATTAAAAATAAAAATTATAACATATAAGGGCCCGGGAAATCATTAATTGATTCCCTAGGGCATAAACAGACACAGCCCCAAAAAAACACAACAGAGTTACAATGCAAGACTGTAAACAAAAAACAACCGAGCCCCAAAAAGGAAATAAACAGTAAAGACAGACACAATGAACACAACGGACATAAACGACAAAACAGAGAACACGATAACTCCTAGCAGGTCTTCAAGCAGAATCTGGACACCATTGAGCTTAATCGAAGTCAGAAGTATATAACTACATGTATTATATGAAACCGATAAATTTAGCTTCTCGCTTTGTTCATTTCTCAAGCTAAACTCTTCAAGCAAAACAGAGACTTGTATCAGATTCCCAACACAGGCTTGGAGTAATTTAGGTCTGAATCCCAACGATATGAACCAGTAACGTTTTTGTTTGTGCGTCGTCTTCCATCAGAAATTCACACAGGCAAATATCATTTTTGGTGATCCCGTTGCGTCTACAAAATTAAGACCATTTTCTGAGACAGGATCTACCATCTTTCCATTTGATTACTTTCCCTTCACATGTGCTTCTTTGTTGGCTCTGAACGCCTCCTTGTTCTGCTACCAACCTCTGATAATGACGCTTCTCTTGCAATCCATCTCTCGGAAGACGCTTCAATAGCAAAAAGCTCAGAAACTTCATTATTAAAAGCTATGAAATTTCATGTGGGCAAGTGTGAAATGTAAGGGAAAAGATCACAAAATTTCACCTTGCAACATCTTCGAAGGATTATTCGTTGCTAATCTTGTAATCTGAGGGAGAAGTCTGGTATGATACGATTGGGAATATACTGTGAACTCAAAAGTGAGCAAATATAGTGAAAGATGGTGAGAAGATAGAACTAGAAGAAAGAATATAAGATTATTAAATTCTGACCAGCTCGTTGCTCCTATTTCCTCCTAGTTTTGTTCCGAAGAAGGGATTGTCTGGCTGGATTTATAACTCTGCATCAATACCATATTCCTCGAGGCTAATTTGGTTAGCCTTAGAAGAAGAGCCCCCTGAAGCAAATAAACCAACAGGTAGGGTGAGTCATGCAAATTTTAACACAAGATTTGAATTAAAATTGGCTTTCGAAAATAAAGACTTACTGTGGCTGACACTAATTAGACTGAAGCGTTCCCTCCTCCTATTTCTGTTGTTGACTTGTTCATCCTTCTCTTTTTTCACATATGCACCCTCGTCATCATATTCCTCCTCCTCTGCCTCCTTTGCAGAATCATTTTCTCCATCTTCTTCCTCTGCATATGTCTCAATCATTTCAAGGCGATTTGTTTTGTATATTTTGAACTTGAATGTATTACTTCCATCAAATTGGAAGACGATGAAGCTTCCAACCTCCGATGAATTGTCCTGAATGAACTGCTTCCAACCATGGTAAAAATACATGCCACCGCTAATGTCACGGATCTTGACATGCCACACCATGCCCCTAGGACTCTTGAGGAGGGCTTTCTCTAACATCCTCCCACGTAAAGATTGGACAAAATCATTTGGGATACGCTGCGATGAATCAGAAGCAAGATATAAAAAAAAAGGATGTGATTTAATCATTTAAAAATGCAAGATAATAATCCATTGAAGAAGAAAATACAAGAGCCAAATATTCAAACTCAAAATATGAATTAGAGAAGCTATGGTAGCTCGAACCATACCATCCTTTCGGAGTTGAATTTAGGGAGGAACACATCAAAGAATTCAGGGTACTCCTGAACTCCTACGTTCTTTTGCTTATCCATCGAAGACAATATAACCAAAATTGCAAGTTGAGAGAAGTTTGATATAAAGTCTCTTCCAAGTCTTGATTCAGAAATCGAACTCTAATATTCTTTTTTGACCTGCAAAAGATACGTTCAAATGCCACATAGAACATGAAAAAGCCTGCAGCCAATCGTTTGGGAGTTTCTAACAGGAATGAGTATAAGGTCTAGAGAATAGCCATTTCGAGTTCAAGCTTTCAAGCTATTACTATATATACACAGTGCTGTAAATGGGTTTCATCAATGAAATGTGAAGCCATTATTTTACTGCATTTGCTCAAGTCTCTGTACCTTCATAACAGGAATGTTAAGAATATGTCGAAGTGGTAATTAATGCTTGGGGGTGGAAGAAAAGCACACATATTGTTGAAAAGATGAATTGCTCCTGGAACGCTGATGAAGGAAGGAAAACGAACTCAAGGTACTTGTAGTTCCCTTAATGATCTTACTGATCACTACAAGGAAGGTTGAATGAATATGGTTGGAAAAAGTAAAAATGTGAAAGAACACTTTCTGTCATGTTATTGCCCAGTTTCAACAAATATTTCACGGGAAGAGGAAGAATCAGAATGCTAATTCTTTCTACCAGGATTGCTTCAGACATATGCTGCAATGGATATTAAACTTCGCTGAATATGACATGGATCAATCTGAATAGTCCACTGACAGTAATTTACAGAAGAACCAAGTTTATATCACTCAAGACAGTTTGCAGGTTGTGATACAATTATGATTGGTGTTGTTAGGATTGTTTCCATCTTTTTCTCTGTCAATGTTTTTTGTAGCCCATGATAATCTGTCTTTACCCCGGATTCCCCTCACTCTGGTTCATATCCATGATAGAGTTGGTTCTGTGGTGAGCAATAATGGTGAGGCGAACTGTGCTGGTGTCCTAATTAAGGGGTAACCAGGGAGATTGGGTCTTTGGTTTTACAAGAAAGATTGGTCTTGTGCCTATTGTCATTTCAGAGATCCAAGCTGCCAACACTAGGATCAAATTATGCAGAAGAAATCAAGGGAATGTGGAAGTCTAAACTGACAGCGCAGAAACTATATATTCAGCTCCTAAACGCCCCTTTCAACGATAATCAACCCTTCCAGAGACAAGGTGCTCTCATTAACTGATTCAGTTATTTCTTCAAATTTTTGTCGGTGCTAATATCTTACCTAGAAATGCTCATGTAAATGATCAGGATTTTTGATATTATGATCATCCACCACCCCCTTATTGCTCTAAGGTGGTTGATGATGATAGGCTTGGATAAGACTAGGTGTTATCTGATTATGAAATGGGCTCCCAGTTCTGACACAAAAAAGTGACGAAGAAGAAGAAGAAGGTGTCGAAGCTATATATTACGGAGATGAGAAAACTCCATATTTTGGAGTTGCTCTCTTCGCTTCACCTTCATATATATAACTTGCATTGGATTAACTCCTCTACTGAAACAAGCAGTATGAAGTTTGAACTGAATCAAGAGAGTACAATACGTTACAGAGAAAAGTAGAGGTCACACCAAGAGAAGAAGGATGAAGCTGATGCAGGGAGAGAGCAAGAAGCAGAAGTTGTACTGAATAAGATTCTAGGAAACAAACATCTAACAAGAGTAGTTTTTTGACATGTTAAAATAGTTTCCTTGGTGATAAGAGAACAATTTGTCGTTCTGAACTTCTAATCCTTTTCTTTTTTTGGCAAATCTGACTTTTTATTCCTTCGTTTGTTGTTGATGGTTGATGACAATTGAGAAATGAGAAAAGGAAAGCGAGAATTTTGGAAAATCTGACTTTTTATTCCTTCGTTTGTTGTTGATGGTTGATGATAATTGAGAAATGAGAAAAGGTAAGCAAGAAGGCCATACATGGAAGAAGTCACATTATTAGATCCATATTTGTGCTGCAAGACTCTGGCGTGTATGGCTTGAATATGCCACGTTTGTTGCATGAAAATGACAATTTTTTTCTGCGCTCAGTTTCAACTTTCTTCCCATTCCACTTACCTGCAACTTGTTATTACCTTTCCCTATAATATAGTCAGCATTTTTAGGTCACTCCACTTAAAGCCATCGAATCCCAATTATAGTACCTACTGCACATAGCTTATTAATTGACGCATGTGCATGCGTGTTTGTATATTAATCTTATAAATATGTCACATATTTACAAAATAGAATGCATGTTTTATTAATTTATAAAAAATAATTATTTTATTGATTAATGTTAAAACTATATGAGAATTGAGTAATTATACATATCTTAATATTTTCATATTATTTAATTTATACGTGATATTGATCAAAATTACTTTCAATGTATCACATTTTTTAGAGTTTGAAATTTCTTTGACGGGTCAACCATAGGTCAAAGAATATAATTATTTTTATAAATTTTAATATTTATATTTACGAGTCAAACATGTGACTTTTACAAATCCTAACCTATTGATCCTTGCAGAGTCTAATTAGTGATTTATGAACTTTGGAACCATAAAGACCAAATTAAAAGTTGACATACACTAGCGTCGAGCCTAAATTCTAAGTTTCTAACCTCCCCAACATAATTGAACAATACATCGCATTTTCAGCATATGTCTTCAGTTTATCTTTCAAGTGTCAAGTTATAAAGCTTAATTCATATAAATATTTATATAGAGGAAGCACTGACAATAAAAATTACTAGAAACTCGCATGCACGCAAGTTTTCCTCATTCCTTGTTCTTTTTAGGTTCTTCGGACTTGTCCCCTGGTGCCAAGAGACAAAGCAATAAAGAATAGGAGAAAAAGCCTATTTTTCTCACAAATTTCGTGGAAGCTAATAAGCCGAGATAATCTTGAGAGGCCAACAGAAAAAATAATCTCAAGCTTCTCAACAGGCAGCAGGTGTGAAGAAGCTACCACCATCATGTAAACTGGGTGAACCAAAGCCAAGATCATTATGATATGAGACAGCAATAGCAGCATCTTGACACAGTTTCTCATCAACCTATTTACATCACAAGTCTCGAAGAGGACAAGAAAATATCATCTTTCCAAACTACAACAACTACACTCCACTAAAGTGAACCTAAAGTGTTTATGGACATGAAAAGCATCTGATCACGCAGAAGCAAGATCGAATGAGTACAATCAGGCTATCAGAAATTAAACCACTGCTAGTTCCTAATCAGTTTGGCTGGGATGATGTTTTGCTGCATAGGAGCATTCAACAGTTTAGTTGGGCTCACGTTTCGGTGTTGATGCATAGGAGGGGGGCTCATCACTCCTGCATCCTCAGTGACACGAAATATAGTAACTTTCAACACTACTTCCTTCATTCTAAGAAGTTCAAAAACACAGACGTCGCCTTCGCCTAAATTATTTTCCAGCGAAAATTCAAACCACCCTTGGCTTAACTTTGCTCTCCCTCCTCTGTAAAGGCAGCGAACAGGCCACTGTTTTCCATCAGAGATTTGGAGTTTAATGAATCCTGAAACCCCATTCAAATGCTTTTCTGCAAAACAGGATGGCAAATACTGCAAAACAGATGGGGAGTTTAGTATCATAAATTCAAGAAAAATAAACATGTTAGTTCTGTTGAGTCCAATGGCTAACCATTATGCATCCCCTATACAAATAGGAGGGTCGCAGGACAACCCGACAGAAAGGATTATCCGGTTCAAATGCTTTTGCTGAATTAATTGCCCTTTCTCTTTCTTCAGCTGTCACAGTTCTTTTTCTTGCAGAAGCACTTTCATAAAATCTATAGCGTATTTCCACCTCTTCTTCATGTTGAGCTGAGGATGCTTGCCCATCTGCAGTCCCAAATATTGGAATAATGAGTAAAATTAATTCCTAGATGCCCAGATAATGGAAAAGGTGAGAAAAAAGTGTAAAACAAGCTTACTAGGATCCATTTTCCGCTTCTTTCTTATAGTTTTTTTAACTCTTTGCATTTCCTCATTAGAGAAACGCAACTTTAGCTCTTCAGTAGACTTTTTGAATTCAACTGCATTAAACTGAACACCTATATTTCTGCTTGACTGATTGTCTTGAGAATTGGCACCTTTAGGAGAAAAGGAATTCCCCCCATCTCCCCAGTTTATGGAGTTGAGTTTAGATCCATGGAACAAATTCTGTAATGCTGGAGCTCCAGGAAAAGCCTTGTTCTGCATTGCATCAGGAGTAAGGGATGAAGGCGATGAATCTAAGAATGCAATGGAGTCTTCATCTTCAATATCATCAAAATTAAGATGTTGATTTGCAAAGAAAGGCCCTTCATTACTGCTTCGTGCGTTTGATTGGTAATTTATCTCGCAAGTAGCCAAATTGAAAATATGAACATTGAATGATGATTTCCCTTCATATCTGAATACCAACAGGTAACCAACACCAATGGAGTAGCGTTGAACAAATTCCTGCCAGCCATCAAGGAACCAAAATTTGTTGCCCAATTTTTGTAAGCCTACTCGCCACACACTGCCATCAGGAACAGTAAGGGTAGCCACAGAAGAAAGCTCACACCCAAATTTTCTCAGAAAATTATCTGGAATAGTCTGCAGTTAAAAATTCTAGTTAGGTTCCAATTATTGGTAGATATTTGTGATAAAAAAAAAAAAGATTATTGGTATAAAAATTCTCCAAAGAAAAAGAAACCATAGGCATGCCTCAAGGTAACTTTCAAGCAACAATGAAATGCTTAAAAATTTATTGATTTAAAGGCTTCATGATTAAAAAAAAAAAATCCTTTCAAAAGGTCTTCAAAGTATGCCAATATCAGAATAACAGCATGTTTCAAACACAAGAACAGTCACACAACTGTGACTAATGAAACTCAAATAGCAGATACATAGAGAGACAGGACTCCCAAATGACTTCATTTGTTATTTTTAATATAAATATCTACGTAAGCACCTAATCCCTATTCAGAAGTGCGTCTTTTTTACTTTAAATGATGTTGCGATCCTTGAACTTCTCTCCAAAACACAACTGAACTCGTGAAATTCTGAGCTGTTGAAAGCGGTTTTGAGTACAGAGGCAGAATTCTGCCTCAAACAGACACTGCGTCATATTAATAGTTTAATAATTCCCCAAAACAGCAGTACAGAAATTATTTTTCAAAGCTACACAGATATGCCCTAGAATCTATGTTTTCTTGCACAACTCCACAAATAGGTAGAAGGTTTTCACCACCGAGGAATATGAAGCACTAGAATATTCATGTGCTTATATCTGCACAACGTTCACCGAGAGAAAAAGCAATAGAGCCACTTAACAATCGAGCACAATCAGAAACCCTCTTCAAAATCCTTAAAATTTAACCATCAAAAACATCTCAATTTTACTTTCAATCCAATTCACTGGACATACATTCCTCTCGGCAGCAGTAATTTTTAGAAAGTACTTCCCTTCATCAAGAATCTTATTTCAGCAAACCACTAACAAGAATTACAACACAAGTGTACAGAGAGGGCATCAAAACTTTGTGAAAGGGGTTTCAAGTTTTGAGGTAGAGGAGGTAGAGAGCAGAGGCAAGACCCAGAACCAATACCATACCCTTTCACAAGCTCTTGACAAATTTGTTCCAATCCACAAAAAAAATAGCTACTAGAAACGTCAAAATAAATTCCGAAAAAACAGAATAACCAGGAAGCTAGAAAGGGCGAGAAAAGAAGACAAATTCAGGTACCAGCTGCCGGGATTGGAGAGTGGAGGGACAAATCAGCTTGTGAAAACAAGGTCGAGGCATTCTCCGAGTGTTTGGAAAGCCGGAAAAACGAAGATTCAAAGCATTTGAAATCCCTTCTTCTTCAAACCTTTGGGGTTTGCAGAGAGCAGAATTTCCAAAGCTTTCGGATCTACTTCAGCCCTCTTCTCCTCCACGCCCTCATCTCTGCTTTTGAGTCAAACAAATAGCAATTTTTTAAACTTTTAAAAAACCTCTACTTGACCTAGTTAAGAATGCTTTCGACTCGTCCGAGTTCATGACTCGGTGAGTCGCCCCCTTCCTCGGAGCAGGTTGATTTCATCCTTTAAAAAAAGAAGACAAAAAAAAATTGTGAATAAAAATTTAGTGAGGAACTGTTTAAAACTCAAAAATTTTATCTTTACAAATTTTTAAATTTTTGATAATAAATTTTTTGTATACCAATAATAAATTTCGTAAACTCATCATACTTTTCTATTCTTAAAACTTTAATTCATATTTTTTTGGATATAAGAATTTTTTGGGCTAGTGGACTAATTTGTCCATAAAAAAATTAACACTTACAAGTCGATTCATTTTTAAATTTAATTTATTCAAAAATTAATGTGATTTTTGCAGGATGATATAGAAGACTTCAACTTTTGTTATCCAATAAAGATTTAACTTTAGAATGTATTCTATTAATTTAAAATAAAACTAAACTACAAGGATAATATCATTTCCGAAAACTGTAAATGATATTAAAGTGGTCTGATTAAAATGGATTTTTGTGTTCATTTTTGGTGTAATTTTAGCTTTGCACGTTAATCGCTGTAACAGGAAATGAAGGCCGAAGAGATTCCACAGAGGAAATGAGCCTATTAAAGAAAAAGACGACAAGAAATGACCAAAACAAGACCGCATTCTTGTTGGAAAACACATCTTATCACAAACTCTTTTCAATTCGTTGAATTTTAGGAAACTTTTTATCAAGAAGAAACTATTCTTTTTTTTTTTTTCTTTTCCTTCATGCCATTAGATTAGATTTGGCCTCAGCATAAAACTACGAATGATTACGGAAAAAAAAAAATCATCGCCAGAAATATACGACATTGACCCTTTTTCATTATATTTTTTTAATTTTAATTGTAATAATGAATTCTCTTTTTAAGAGAAATCAAATTATTTTATTTTGTTTTTGGAAGTAATCTCTTCTAGGATTGAGTAAAAATTGTAAATTTACTGTCCAAAATAGTATTTATCTGAACAAATAGACGAGGGCAGCAAAAATTTGAATCCATTGGCATTGGTAGTCAAGTTAACGTGATGAAAAAAAATAAAAATCATGATAAAAAAAGGCAGCTCCTTCCTTTATTCCTTGATTCCGTCCTTCTTTTTCTTTAATTTTTTTCTTTACTCTAAAATAGTCTTAGAAAACAAAACAAAACCATTTTTATAAGTAAAAGCCCCCGGATTTTATCTCGCTTGTAATCGATGATTGTTGGTATCTGCTTTTTAAAATGAAAAAAACTATTCCCAACATTTTCAAAAATCAATCCTCAACTCCCACAAAAATAAACATAATTATGACAAGTGGATCCTCTTTATGTGCATCCATGAACGGTGCCATTTATTTCTTAGAATTCATGTAACTCCACCCAATCTGCTGGTATGTAACTTTTTCACACCTTTCCATCCTAAGATAACATGTGCTGGACCACACAAAGTTTTAATTATATATTCTAGAACTTCCATCAAAATTATAACTCTTCTGCCCGTTAAAAGATTACTTCTTTTTTTTTTAATGTTTGTGTGTGTTAGTGTTAATTTAATTTTAATTTTTTGCTAAGATAATTTATATGAAAGTAATATAGATATTTAAATAAGTATTGCATCCAGATAAACGTAAATTAAAATAACTCATTTTGTCTTTATAAACAAAAATACTTTAAAATTTTGTTTTCAAAATATCACTACCCATAATTCACGGCTAATTTCTAGTTTTGACTGTAAGAAGAAGAAGACGACAGAAAAGAAAATTGATTTAAAAAAAAGTGAAAAAGATTAAATATGGAAAAATTTGTTTCAGTATGGGAGTTTTCTTTTTTTAATTTGCAGGGGATGCTTCCCTATTGTGTCTTGGAGTGTGAGATATGAAAACGTTAACAAATTGAACAACTGACAATTGCTCTGAAAACGAAAAGGACGTACATGGATTTAAACATTCACTAAAATCATTTTTCTTTTGGCCGAGCACTGCAATCTTTGGATAATTAGCCACTCTTGTATTGTAGAATCGTGCGAGGATGTAAAAAACTTTACCAATAAAACATTCGAATTATATCAAAAGAAGAAGAAGAAAACATTTGAATGAATTATTAATATATTATCAATATAGAATATAAAATTTATAATAAATCATTTTCTTCAAGATTTGCAAAATAACGTGACCGTGTTATATAAAAATATTATATATATTATAATTTATACCAATTCAGTCTAAATTTGTATTATATATATCTTTTTTCAATCTATCTTTTCTCTCTAAAATAGTGTTGGCTGTATGGACATAAACAGCGAGCTGCTTGAGTCATGCCTGGAAGGTCATTATACTTAAGAACTATTCTGGCACATTAGAACGATGGATCAGCAATTTTTTAAGATTAAACAAGCACTTCCGCACAATGCAAAGACAAGAATAGCAACACTACCGAAAAACTCAGACGAAGAATAGGAATCTGAGGGGGAGAAAAATGTCTTGAAAGCTCAAGAGACTGACAAATTGTTCAATCTGAATACATGCCTATATATAGGCCAGATCTTGGACTCGAACATTGGGCATTCAACCATTGAAATAAAGGTTCAGTTACACACTCATAAAGCAACATAATATCTTGGTTACACAAAAATAAAACATGTTTAAGCATCTGTTTGAAAACATTAGGGGGTTACATGGACGTAAAACACATTTAATTTCTTGTCTGGAAATGTTAGGGGGACAAATATGTTTAGGACATTAATCATCCATTTCAAAATCTGGTTAATGGCCAAAAAACGTTTACGGTTTGATTTTAAGCTCCATATAGCCAAAAAATGATATTTTTCAATAAGTTCATGTAAACAAATAATTATTTATTTTTATAAAATTAATTCGGTAAAAAAAACTCAGTGCCTCTTGAACTCGTACACAGGGGAGGCGAATTGGTTGATTTCAATTGCAATTGTCCTAAGTTGGCTTATATCGTGCGTGTGAGCTTACTTTTTCTCTAAGCTCATTTTACTAACTTACTTCATTCCTTAATATCTATACATTAAAAAAGTTCTTCATTTAAATAATGTGAGACTTTTGACACACACACACAACAAATAGAACACATGGTTTGGATTTAAACGTTCTCTAAAAGCAGTGTTGATTGTGAACACATTAAAGCTTTCATCGCATCAAAAGCCGAACACAAGGTGGTTTCTGCTATAAATGTTCAAGATGTTATAAAGCATGTATACGGATGTTGCAAAACAAGACTCCGAGAACATAAGCAACTTAATATAAGTTTTGTCCATACTTTTAACTTCTAATTTTTGTATCGCTTCACATATAATGAATGAGGGGTCACCTGTATATGGTACCATGATGTTCGCACATGCATGAGACATGACAGCACCTAAAATCCTAAATGCAGCAACCCCGCCTCTTAGTGTATGTTAACACTGCACTATTGAAAATCTTGAAAATATATTCAATCAAATCTTTTAAATTGTTATATCATTTATTTAACTTTTTTAAATGATTGGGGTTAATCTATACCTATACACTTTGTTATAATTACCCTGGGATGGGTACCATAGTTCTACAATACCCGTCCAGTTATTTTTTAAAAAAATTTTATAAAGTAAATTTCTTAAATTTCAACATAATAAATTAAAGTGTGAACCCCAAATGAAAAGAGCGAGTGTTATACTCGCTCTTTTTTTATAAAAAAAAAAAAAAGAGTGGCAGATATGGATATGTACGGTTTTTTAAATTGTTTCTTGAGAAAAATGTCACATCTCAATGTCAGATCCAAATCTCCAGTTGACATCTTGAAAACTCCTATATAGGCATTTCTGGGAAACAAAGGTTAATGTCCCCATAGTTATAGATGCATCATTGGTGTTTTATCTTTTCGCCTTTTTTAGATCGCAAGCACACCTTGCATCAATGCAATTCTCTTTTATATGTACATGTAAATAACTGTTCTCTCAGATTCAAATCCCTTCAAAGTCCTCTAGCTTCCCATTTATGCTGATGGAGATTATTTCAAACTGCGCATTTTCAATCGTTATTTTCATATCAGTTTACTACTTAACATATTTTAAACGTATCGTGCAAATCCTCATCCCACGCACGTTAGGCTTTTCTTAATCGTGTTAGGGGATTTCTGCAAATCAGGATTTAACATCTTTTCGCTCTTCAATATTGTTTTAATAGTCACCCGAATCGTGCTTGCTCGTCCATCATTTGACCGACAAATTTAAATAATATATTATTAATAATCACATAGGTATCCAATTTTCTTGCACGCATACATATACAACTACGTATGTCTTTTCCTCTGATTCTTCGCATTGATTCTGACATTCTGTACAGAAAAGAAAAGGACCATGAGGGCGACAAGGGAAGTAGGGTCTGGGACAAGAACGATGATTATTAAGGTGGTTGTGACAATGACGATGATGTTTGGTGCAGATGGGTTGGGTGCAAATTTCTTTGGCTCGGACACAAACGAGGTGTACAGTCCATGCGAGGATGCTAAAGTGCAGAAAAGAGATGGTTTTACGTTTGGAATAGCATTTTCAGAGAAAGATTCGTTCTACGAGAATCAAGGTGGCCCACAGCTTTCACCTTGTGATCGTCGTCTTGATCTCTCCAATAAAGGTGCACAGCTCGCCTTGTTCAGACCAATGGTGGATGAGATGTCCTTGCTTACCATTAATACCACCACATTAGACCCGGTATCGTTCTTACTTCAACTTTTGAGTCAATAATCAGATCGATCAAGCGATCTAAGAGTTTGATTTTCTAGCTTCCCATTTTATTTGTTTACTCATTTCACAGTCCTACTCCCATCATTTTAGTTTTCACTTTTCATGTTTAACAAGTATATATTGAATTGCAAATTTTGAAACATCTGTCCAGTTGCAAGTTTGAACATTGATTAGTAGAATGATGATGATCGACTGGTAAATGAAGCAAATACAATCATTAAACTGTGAACATCATAGCAAGAATTCTGTTGCAATCATTAAACTTGAATTTAAGCTGGTGTCAATTCAAGCTCCCTTTTTCAACCATTTATTCATATTTCTAATTCTCCTGAACTCTTGTGCAAGTTATTGGATGTGTGGTGTTTATAGAACTGAGTAGTAAATTGGTTTTTTGTGAGCTGATCAGGTCCAATCTGGGGGATATATGGTCGCCTTTGCTGGGCAAAAATATGCAGCTAGGTCACCACCAATCAAGTTTGCTGACCAAACTCACACAATTACTAGTCTCACTTTGGTAAACACATTTCGCGTTGCTCTCTCGTTTCTCACTTTTCTACAAAATTTAGGCACATTTTTCAATTTTCATAATGTGATTTGGATCCTTCAAAAACATAAAACACTCGGGCAAAATTTTATAAACATCTACGATCATTTTATCACATTACACTTGGACTTTATCCTTTTAAAGGTGATCTCTGAGGGAATCTGACATCGAATGTGGGTTTGATTTGATTCTCAGATTCTTGAATTTGGAGAGGGAACACTACAGAATTTGTATTGGAAAAGCTTCGGGTGCGATAAATGCGCAGGAGACAACGTTTGCCTAAACAATCAAGACTGTGCAGTGCCAAATTCAAAGTGTCACAACAATGGTGGGAGTGGGTGCAACATAGGCATACAGCTCGCATTCTCAGGGACAGACAGGAGCCTCAATGTGCTCAATTCTTGGTACGAGGTTGACAAGCTACGCCAGTATTCTCTCTATGGCCTTTTCTCGGATCTCAAGAATTCCATCATCACCCCCTATGAGGACCTTTTCTAACTCTATTTTTGTGCATATCAATAAGCAAGAGACACTGTCAATGTAATGGTATTGTGAATGGATGAAGATTTTTAAGACTTGATCTATACAGAGAAAAAAAAATTGATAGATTCAATTTCATGTCACCATTTTTAAGGGCTAAATCAGACATCATCAAGTAGAAAACAAAACGTCCAGTGTTTTTGCCGGGGAAGACGTTACAAAACAGAAGCTGCTCCACAGGGAAACATGTTAACTGAGCAAGTGTTCAATTGAAATTTTCCACTGTTCATGGCAGAAGATCAACCTCGTTTTCACAAAAGGGGGGGGGCAAACTTCATGTCAATCTCAGTAAAAACTAGGAAAATATAGACCTTAACCACTAATGAGCTGCTCAATTTCCATTGGCATCCATCTCATCACCTGTCCAAGTCCTCAACAACCATGACACCAGGGCCCTCTTCGTGTGAATTAGTCTCCTCTATTGCAGGGCTCCTGATCTTTTGAGTGATAAGTTTGGACGAGATAGTGTGCCACAGATTTGAATCCTAGTTCTGACACCTTTTAAGTAAAATTCAAAGGACAAGGCAGGAAAATATCAGTTCCAGAAGCTGGCCTCGCAATGTCATGCGGGCTGAGGCTCGTATAAACAGAAACAAGAATAACACTTGCGGAGGTCGGTGTAATTTATGTCTTTATTCAACTCTTTGAAGAAGATTGAGCACAAGATGGAAAGAAGGAACCTCAATTCTTGCAGGAGCAGAAAGTATCAAACATGCAGATCTTCCAACATAACAAGGTTTAAAAAAAAACTAACCTTTCTGTACAGATTACCAGTGGGCATCCAACCCTTAGCTCTACGGCAACGACTACAATTGCAAATTCCCCGACAAGCCGGACATATCCATTTGCGATTCTCGTTTGCTTCTAAAACATTTTCTCCATATCTATACAGCATTACGAAAATTTATTATAATGCCTAGCATCAATCTTCACAGAATCACATTAAATGAGACAGGGCTATATAATTCGCTCTCCTGATTTCAAGATGGAATCGAAGGCTTTAGAACAACCAACAATATAAGTATAGTTCTGTTGAAAGAAAGAAAGAAAAGCTGCTTTCTCCATCTCATCTCAGATAGCTAGAAAATGTTACCTTGTGTACAAGCAATCTCCACAAAGCTGTCCTTGGGGTAACTCGCATTTGCCACAATAGGTATGCAGACTAAGAGTTTTCTGCCTGCAAGGAAGAAATGATTTCCTCAATTCAACAAGCTCAAGGAAAAGCTGGTGTGCCAACTTTATAAATTAACTACAAAAAACTAGTAGATCTGAGTCTTTAATAGAAAAGCATGCATAAAATCATTTTGTCTAAGATCAACCAATACAAACATAACAGAGATGCATCGGCACAATGCAAGTGTCTTCTTCGAATAACAAAAGAATCTAAGCTCTGGTTTCAACATTAGGCATGTCATGTTAAAAACTTAAAATAGAAAGAATCCTGCAACGTGACGTGAAAGGCATATTTAGGGAGCATTATAAACTTATAAAACAAAATTACCTGCATTGATGGCACGTCTGCCCTTTGATCGGATCATAAAGACGATTCCCATCATCATCATATCCATCGACATACAATTCCCATTCAATTTTACAATCCCCTAGAAGCTTTTCTTGCTCTTCAGTGTAAACTTCTGGATTTGTACCTTCCGGTATGCAAATCTCTAAATTTTTGGAGGAGTCACGCTTCTCACGGCCTTCAAAATACTTTATTGGTCCCATGGTCTGTATTCTAAAATTTCATGAAATATGGAAATCTGATTACCATATCTCTCGAAGTTTAAACAAAAAAATCAATCATTTCAGGAATACTGACCACAAATGCATTATAAATCTCTGAAAAATTTTAGAAAATATATTAAAAATAATAAAATTCACGACCTTAATACTTTATTGGTCCTAAGGTCTGTATTCTAAAATTCCATGAAATATGGAAATCTGATTACCGTATCTCTCGAAGTTTAAACAAAAAAATCAATCATTTCAGGAATACTGACCACAAATGCATTATAAATCTCTGAAAAATTTTAGAAAATATATTAAAAATAATAAAATTCACGACCTTAATACTTTATTGGTCCTAAGGTCTGTATTCTAAAATTCCATGAAATATGGAAATCTGATTACCGTATCTCTCGAAGTTTAAACAAAAAAATCAATCATTTCAGGAATACTGACCACAAATGCATTATAAATCTCTGGAAAATTTTAGAAAATATATTAAAAATAATAAAATTCACGACCTTCATAATCTCGCAGAAGTTTGGGGATTTTTCTTTTCTTCCATAAAAAATTCAGGTATATAGGATATGAAGAATTCAAGACTTATGTATAATACTACATACTCAATTTTCAAATAAGCTTTCTACTACTTAATAGATTAGAAAATTCACGTACCAGTCACCAAGAGAAATGCCAGTACAATGAATGAGGGTGACAAGACGAGCAAGCAATATTTCTATCCCATCTCAGATATATACCAAATGAACCGCAACAGAAATAACAAGCAAAAGTGGATTAGTTATTCTCCAGCATTCTTTTCGTACAATTACCGTCAATTTTAACCAAAAACAAAGCACACAATCAGGGGAGTGCGGGTTGCGTAGAAGAACGTCTCGAGAATATTGGTTTTTCCGGTATGTATAAATTTTCATAAAAAACTTTTCAAGTACTTAATGAATACTCACTAATCGCCAGCCTTCGAAACATCGACACTTGAACAATAGAACCGTATACAAACAAGCCTACAAATGTTATATCTCGTAGTATGCCAGTACCACCATCGCATGTAGTAAGCAGAGAAATGTTTTCATCCTATCTGAGATAAGAAAAACAAATCAATCGCACCAGAGAAAACAAGCAGAAGTAATGTCCACAAAATAGAGATAACAACCAGAAGTGAAGTTGTTCTCAGCAATTTTCTCATATCCAGATGAAAATTATCTTCTATTTTAACCAATACGTAAGGCAGGAAAAACTTATTAATACAAGAAAATGTGTACGAGACGAGGAGTAAAAGTATACCTAGAAGATCGCCGCGGGGGGATGTTAGGAGCTAAAGCATACAGCGTCGTCTTCCTAGGGTGAGGGGATTTCTTCTGTCGCGAAGTTTTAGGCTTCTTGAGTTTCAGAGATAGGTCGAACAAGCCTAACTTCCGCAGCCTCCCTTGGTTCTCCTTGATCCGTTGGTCCCTAATCTGTTCATAATGCGAAAAGCCTTCTCCATTTCTCATCCTTTTAGCTGATTCGTTTTCAGAGTCGGTCTCTTCAGGTGATTCTCCGGCGTTTTTTCTCCGGTGAACCATAGTCAGAATTCAGAAAGAGGAAGGTGAAAGGTGGCTGGAATATGCAGAAGCAGAAGATGAAAGGCTCAGGTGTCTTGGCGAATGGCGAGGAGTGGGAAAGCGCGGGAATTGTAGAGTTCACTTTCTCGGGAATCGGAGCGAGGCAAGTCAAACTGGCTATTGACTAATGAGAGTAACACACGTAGGTATCAAAAAATAAATAAATAAATGAGGCAAGACAAATATGTAATCTTAGGAAGGACATCATCCATGAGAAGTGTTGATCATGAAAATTATTTTAAATTTTTTTAAAAAAATATATCTGAATAATTTTTAAATATTAATAAAATTTAATAATTATAATTAAAATTCTCCACTCACTGAAATCAAATGCAAATTGATATTAATATTGTGAGTATCTTAAATTTTCTTATCAAGTTGGCGTCAGATATAGACATGAAATTGCTTTCTGATGTATCCCAAAAAAAAAAAAAAGATATATGAGAGAATATTAAATTATAACTTTACCATTTTATTATGCTGTATACTCAAACTTAATTCAACTATATATATGATTGCATAAAAATATTTGACATGCATTATATAACTATTTTCTTCATTTAAAAATATAAAATATTTTTAAAAAAATTTAATATTATAAAATGTAATGTACTTATAATTTTTTGAAGTGTAATCATTATTTTTTTTAAAATATTTTTATTAATAAATAATTTTATATTTATTATAAGATATTTAATAAAATTAAATATAAAAAATATGATTAATTTAAAAATACAGAACTATTTTATTAAAAGGTAAGATTTAATTAAAAATATTTTATATTTTTTAATGAAAAAAATGTCATTTAACTCAATTTTTATTCATTTCTAATTTAATATATATATATATATATATATATTTGCAATCATCTGACGAAATCTCATGACCATAAAGTGAGAATACTTATTGGATGAGAAAATTTGAAACAATCATACAATAGCATAAAAATTACTTTTTCAGAAAATTTGATATTAGTTATATTTTATATAATTTTATTTTAATATTAGTATTGATATTGGTTTCATGAAAATATGTGTATTATTTTAAAAATGCTACTTAAATTATTAAAATTGAAAAATAAATATATTAACATCCAAGTAGAAAAAAATAAGATTTATCTGGTTTTCTTTGAGCTTTTAATAGCTGTTCAATTGTCCAAAAGCAATCGTCAATATTATTCTTTTACACGTTTTATATGTCCCAGAATCTGGATTACTGACTAAAAGTAACTATTTTAATAGAACATAACCAAAAAAAATTTAGTCCGATTGGAACACCCTGTTCACCCCACATAGTAATATTATTTTAATAAATAACTAGCACCAATTCCATATATTTGTAAAGAGATTGCATAAAAATTCAAAATGTTTCAAAAAAAATAACAAAGGTAAAAAAAAATTGTAGTACATTTTTTTTTTGCCAGACGAAAAAACATATATTATATATTATCTTTGAACTCTGAGTTATGTAACATTCAAAACTTAACAAGAAAATTCCTTAAATTTTCAAGTTTACGCTGATAACCACTTACCATTAATTTATGTTATTTCATTAATGGGAAATAAAATGACATAAGCTAAGATGTACAAGGAGATTGTTTATTTTATACCTCAAAGTTGAAGGAGTTATCTAAACAATGCTACAAAATTTAAGGAAATATATTATCAATGAAAGTATGATATTTTTATTAGCTTTAATAACAAATTATATTGGCACAAACTTATAAGATGGGTTTTGTCAAGTTTTAAGAAAAAAATGTACGAGACAATAAGTGTTTCTGCCCAAGAAGCAGAAAATACTAGGAATCTGCACAAGCTCTAGATCAAATTATTGTGCTTCATTACATACAAAGCTATTTCCCCTAACTGTGATGCCGATAGAGAGCAATACCAAAGGAGAACTCTAGACAGGTTTATGAACCCGCATATGCGCATGAACATTCACGATTAGGTTCTTCATCTCAGGGAAGATGGATGTTAGCACGAGTTCGAGGATCGCAAAAGATAGTTGCTTGACACATATGGTAGACTGTATGCAGAGATAATGCAAAGTGTTGGTATCAGAGCATGAGAACAAGTTTTTTCAAGTAAACAAGCGAGAGAAAGAAATTTGCTTTAAGTGGATATAGGATCAAATGGAAGGAGCTCTCACCTGGCTGAAATAATATATGTCACGAGCACAACGCCTGTATTGCTTTTGCCCGATTAAGCTAACCAAGGCCGTTGGAGCTCCATCTGATAAGTAGGGAGGCAAGTTCATATATGTCAAAATCTGGAGATGCATATTCCCAGGACAATGCTGCTATTAAGTACATATTGATATTTTGATTACACATTCACAAGAAACAAATAAAATGCACACACTCTTTCAGGTCAAGAAAGAAGAAACAACTAAACCTTGAGTTGCTTCTGCACATTTCACTCCAAGTAAATACTAATCCAAGAAACGTTAGATATATAGGAAAGAGGATGAAAAGAGGATATTCAAATGGGACTAACCGAAGAGCAGTTTTTTGATATCACTCGCTCTACGAGCAGCCTCAAGCTGTTGCTCAAAAGATGCTGACCCTCGTTTCGAGATATTGCTTCCAATAAAGTCCCCTATTGTATGTAAAGATTTTTGATCGATTCCACAGCCACCTTTTTCCGTCTGAGTCTGTAGACTTAAGAAAAATGTACCACCAGGCCACAAGATCTGAAAGCATATATATGTATATGCATGCCACATAAGAAAGTTAGCTCCAGCTTTTTGTTTGGTGGGGGGTGGGAATTGAGATACAACGCGGGACAAAATTTCTTCAATAGAACCAGTATGTGAAGAAATTTTTTTTGAAAGATAATGCTCGGTAGCACATATTTTTTATCCGAAAACCAAATAATAAAAATCTAAGAAACTGAGCTTGAATTTGCCCATTCTTTTTTATTGGATTATCCAGTATCGCACAACTAATAAAAGTATTTTAAACAAAATCCACCCATCCAATGATCTAAATGCACATATCAATAGTTAGTCATAGAATTAGGCTGATCATCATCGGCCATGTAAAAAGGTTTTCGCATAAAAATGAAAAGGTCCCAGTAAAAGATTGTGTTTAAGTTTTTGCCTCAATCCTTACATCTTGAACCCACCGAATTCCTTGGGCAACAGTATCCTCGCTCCGGAGCCAATGAATCTGTCTGAGAAGAAAATCATCAATAGCATCTTCCATTGCTAACTGTAATATCTGTTTTGATATCCAAAAGACCTGTCTTCTGCATCCACAGAGATGAACTAGTGTAAGCCTAGAAATTTTTTTTTTTTAAAAAAAAGAACCCAACAAAATCCTGTAACTTGACATCGCGTTTTCTTGAATCCATTTACCCAAAATTGAACAGGAAAATCCAACGTATGGAATGGTAGCAAATATGAAGTTGTTGAAAGCAGCTAATGGAAAAATAATCTTTTAAAATCAGAATTAAAATAGCCCAGCATAGCACCATGCCAGGCATCGGCACATGGATTTTATGTAACGCCCCACATTTCATATCTACAATTAATCCTTACGCCCTCATGAAGGTTTCAGTCGTATGACTCCAAATAAGACACTATAATGTTTAAGCTTTGACCTGAACGTCTGAGTCTAGAAAAAGTATTACTTCTAAGCAAAACCGCAGAACATATTGTGATGATTCACAGACTTTGTAAAAACATAAAATGGTAACTCCAAAAGAAGCTTCTGCAATCAGTAAACGATGTATTAGGATTGTTTAATGTGATCTTTAAACGATGTATTTAGATTGTTTAAGTGATGCTTAGCTGTTATCAGGTTAAAAATTGCCGAAGACTGGATAGAATAGTACACCTTAGCCAGCCTCTTTTCTGAAGCTGAAATACCTTGTCAACCAGTTTCAAAATTGGGACAGTAACATTAGGTGGAGTCCACTGCAGAAAAATCAAAACTAGAAATTAGATATTAGAAATATTTATAAAGTGTCGTATAATAAAAATTTCTTTTAAAATAACTTTCAAAAAATAAGATCAAAGATCCTAACAGAATCCTACTTGGAGAAGTCAAATAAACCATCCATCCTATTTTGTTTTGATTCACAAGTTAAATTCTTTTCCTTAGGAGAGAGGGAAAAAAAGGCCCAAATCGTCCCTTCAAATATGTTTTCAGAACAATCTATATATGTAACTATATATAATTTAAAGTCTATAAGAAGTCACATTATTTATAAGCTATGAATATTATACCTCGCCTCAAATTCTATGCTTCCCAATCTAGATTTTCATAAAACTAGAATTTGGAACTCATGCATTTTACTTCTCGATTTACAAAAGTTTTTTTGACAGCAAAGTACCTGAACATATCTATGAAATTCAGGATGCCTGATAAACCAACAACGGAAATGAAGGCACAGGCAAGAAAATAAAACGAGCTTTTAGCCAGCAAACAATCAAATCAGTTAGGACGTACAATTTCTTATCTTTATTTTTGGAGCCATGGGGTCACTCTTTGGGAACACAATGGCCCAACATAATTTATTGCTTCTGTGCAGTTTTTTTAGTTATTAATGCCGTTCCTATTTTTACCACGTAAGGAAATTATTAAGCAGTCTAATCCAACTGAAAATAACCAGCAAGAAAATAATTTTAGTGCATCAATTATCAAATACTAGAGAACCATGTTGCCTCGTAAGAAATCAGAAGTGAACTACAAAAATGAAAAGGAAGCAAACTTAATAACCTCAGGTGGCACTTCCCCCAAATTATCAGGAATGAGAGTGAAATTTGTAGCTGCGGTTTCATTGCCAACTCTAGCTTCAGATATCAAATCATGCTTTATATTTAGATCACAGTTACCAGACTCTTCATCATGGTGTGGCGTGGAACCGTTCAAGTTCAATTCAATATCAGAATGCCGCCCATTATCGTGCTTCAGTTCTCTAGTAATGTTCTCACGGTCACACTTTCCACTACTCTGAAAATCCTCATAATTAGAGCTTAATACAGTTTCCGCAGTGTTCTGCCTCGGTTTAATTTTATCCATTCCGTCATCATTCCAAAAATTGTTGTCTGTTGACGTAGAAGAGCCTCCACAAGTATGCGACGACAATGGAACAACAATTTTTCTCGTTAATCCATCCGAAACACCTTCAAACTGGCGGACAATATCATCCACAGCACCATCTACATTAACTGTCAACAGACAAAAATTTAGATAACATTTGGAATAAGTAAATACAAATTTCTTTTATAAAAAAAAAAAATCTCTGCTTTTAAAAGCTCTTTGCACACTGGGACTAACTTCAACAAAATAATTGGTACCGTTGTAAATCAAGGAAATGATTTATGCAAGACTAAGAAAATGCAGAGAGGCAAATAGAGCTTATTCATCAAAAGACTATCACGGTAGTTATGAGTAGTTGTCCAAACTGAATGCAACATATCTCATTGTGTCAATCAGGGTTATCTATAAAATCGTAGAAATAGATACTGCCTCTGTCGAAGTTTAAAATCCCATGAATCTCAGAGAATATTTGCTGGTTAAGCGTCATCGTTCAGAGGCATATGGTGAAATGCTGTTAGTCAATTTTCTGCTTCCCGTTTCATGAAGCTTTGTCTTTTTATCTAAGTTCCTCGTTGTTTCCTTTTCGGGTTCAGGATGACTGGCTGGACCTTCTATGGCCTCCTTCTTCCAATTTATAGTTACATCATTTTTTTGGGAACACTACCGTTTTGAATGAAGTTAAAAAATTTCAATCAGTATTTTTCTGAAATTCTTCAAATAACATAGTACAAGATTCTAGTTGCCTGGACCACCTTCCTAATCTACCCCAAAGCCAAAAACAATGGCAGAAAGGCAAACTAGAAAGGCGATGGTAGGAGTTTTTTCTCCCACTTCCATTTAAAGATATTTCATTTTTTCCATTTTTAACGGTAGAAAGATCACCACATGAGGATTTCAACAGTGAGAGCGAAACCGCCAAACAACTGAACAAGACTTTTACAAACTCACATGGCAGACAAATGGATGATGATAAAATCCAAAGGGCACTTCATTAAAAGTAGTTATAACCCGACAACCTTTACTGCAAGTAAAATATAAAACCGAAAAGTTAAAACCACATACCTGCCAGGGTCCTTATCGTTGAAGATTTCCCCAAAGAGTAATTCTTCAACAAAGAAGGAGGTCGATAATGATATCGATACTATCATCAGATCATTAATTTTCTTATTGAAAGAGTACCAACGGAAACTATGAAGGCCATCATCTGACGTCATAATAAGAATACCAAGCAGATACACACCTTTGAAGAAATACTCAGAAAGTCCCAAATTTCATGATGTTCAGTGACATTAGGTATTGACATGAGTTCCTGAAGCAAAATAGTATAATTGAAGCAAACACATTGTTATAGAAAAGTATAAGAGGAAATATTCATCATCGATCAATATTCAATGAGTATAATTTTTATACTCCTTTCAGTCCTAGACTCCTAGATAAATAATTTATAGAGATTTAAGAAATTAATTAAATTAATTATTTGTAGAAAATTAGTGTTGGTTGCCTAACATGCGCGATCAGTAGGAGTAATTTAGGAAAAAATTATAAATTAAAGAGATAAAGTAAATTGAAGTTGTATACTAGTTTCAATATAAGCCCTTCAACTACCTCATATATTTAGGACCGAAGGGTGCATAAAAAGTTGCTCTATTCTTAAGTTATAAATAGCATGATTCATATCGAATTCAATGCAAGGCACAGGTCTCATGGATAAAGGCTAAAAAAACCTGAAGATATTTGTCAAGCAGAATGCAACGCTCATGGACAAAGGAATCCTCTGTGCTTGAGGAAAATATCCTTTTCGGTGGCAAATGTAATCTGTATTTTGGAGTATCTTTAAGCTCCCGATGCAGTGTGTCAAAATTCCTGTATCTAAATATCACCAAAAGAAAGTAAAGAGGAATCGACGACGCACAATTATATTTTAAATAATAATAACAATAATAATAAGCCTTATTTTATTAAGTAAGTTCAGTTATTATATAACGTCATCATGCAAACTCAAGCAAATTTAAAACTTAAAAAAAGTTACTCTATATGAAGCGTCAACAAATTGAACTCTAAAAATGTAGGAAAGACAGAAGAAATCATTGAACCCAGCATTGTTTTGATAATAAGTTGGAAAGTTCCTTCTTTTTATAAGCCCAAATTCATTGTCAAATCGTGTGAAAGAAGCGAACCTTCTTTTCACAAACCAAGTATTGTTTTCCGCATCTGTCACAGCAATTGAATAGACAGCAAAAGTTTTAGAATCGAGTTTCTCAAAGTATGCTCCCATTACCTGCAGTGTACAAGCAGACAAGACAAACAATAAATGTACAAAGATACATCAAAACTCAATTATCCAGTCCGATTTAAAAAAAAAAAATGGTACGTTGCACAGATTCCATTATTCCAATTCAATTTATTTTAGGATTTGAACATCCTATAACCGCAACATCCAAGATTCATACCCGGCAACGGAGCTTGGGAACTAGTTGACCCTCTTTCCTAATAACAGTGTCAGAAGCACTCTTTCCTCGAAATCCTTCACTCTGTCTCTCAAAACCATGACTCTGAGACCCAGAAATAATTGGCTCTCCTTTACTACTTAGTATTCCCAGAAAAGTAGCGCTGTCTGGTCTCTTGCGCCTGCTTTTACTTTCATTAGACGCAAAGACTTTAGTACCCTTCGCTTCATCTACCCGAAGCTCTCCTTCGAAAGGTGATTCTTTGTCGAGATCTTGAGAAGACTCCGCCCCATTTGTGCTTCCAACATTTAGTAAGGGATCTGAACCCGAGCTCTGCACTCGCTGCAGGAATGACTTCCCTTCTGGATCTGCATACTCTCCATGTTTACTCGCTGATGTTTCCTTTGCTAAATTTCCATCAGGCAGTGAACGGTCTGCAGAAGAACCTTTTTTAGGAGAATCGAGAAAACTTGCTTTGAGATTTGTGTTCTCTTTCTTTTTATAATCCCTCCCTTTGGTCCACATATTCTCGAGATTCTCAGGCATAAGAACTTCAGTTCTTCTTTGAGTCGCTGCCTCCAACACTCTTGCCCAGTCGGCATGCCTGATCTGCGAAGTCTCTTGCTGGAAGGTGTTGCATTGAAGGGATGTCCCGCCCTGATGGTGCAGTTTAGCCAATGTTTCATCGTTTCTTTGATTTACACGCGAATGGTCGTTCGAGTTCGTGTGATTATTAGATCCAAACACATCAGCAACTGAATTACCACAATGATGAGTTGCTGCACTTGTACACTGATCACCGCCCATCCCTATTATATCCATATCTTTAATGATATGCAGAAGTTCTTCAATCAGCTCATTGATATACCTGATCACCAAGATAATCGTATTATTTACAAATGGAAATTGCAATGAGTTCTCAACCCTTAAGAAATATAGCAAAACTTCTTCCGATAATACGGAAGACCGACATGAAAGTTATTACTAGGATACCAGTAAAGCAATCGCAGTCATTAAAGGTCTCCATTGTACTACCCCAAGCCTATTTAACTATCATTGATTTGTCTAGTATAGATAGGTTCAGAGGTAGTATTAATTATTGATGTTTAATGTCGTAAACTTTTAATCATATCCAAACGTATGTATTACTTTGATTGCTCAAATTATGAAAAATACTAATGCAATCTTCATTATAGATGTCCTAAGTCACCCTTTTAACACTTTCCACATGAATTGTATATTTAGATGTTAAAGTGTGAATTTTAAGAAGCATCTCCTAGCAAAAAGCACCATTTTTTGAGATCGTCTTTAACCAATGCCAGTCTACTACCCCTTCGCACCTTTCTTTTTTTCCTCCCCAACTTACCCTCCTGAAAAAACAGTTACAAAAAGCGCCACAACTCTTTCAAAGTAGAATTGTGGAAATCCTCTTTCGAAATAGGATATGTTCTAAAAAATTAAATATTGGACGATATATTTAAGAACATACCCAGGACATGCCAATTTTAATATTGGTTGCATTACCAAGCAAGTTAAAATTTCCTGAGCTATAGATCGTATCACAGGACAGTGAGCTTCTTGTCGTCTTAGTACTAATGCTAATAATCCACTCATTAGCCGCCGAAGAACCTACACAAAGGAAAAATTATTGCACATGAGACACGATTTTCACTAGCCAAACGAGGATTGTAGATTAAAGTAGAACACTCCACTCACACCTTGTACTCACTCTCAGGAGATACTAGTGCAGGATGAAGCTCCTTGGAATTTAATAGATGGTATTTCAATCTTTCATCCCTCTCTTCAGAAGATAATGTTAACATAACATCCACACCTATAGCAGCTTGATTTTTTCTGAAGAGGTCTATGTGATCACCCACTAAATGAACTATATCCCTGGAATATAATCAAGATGTAAGAGAATGAGAAGCCTTTCACAGAAACAAGTTGTTTTACCAGATAACTATGCCTAAAAGCCTAATCTAATTGCTCACCAAACCCCTTTGTTTTTTTAAAGAAATTGGAGGGAAAATGGACACCTTGTCAGCAAGTCGACGAGATTTATTTCTTTAACCCTTCTTGATATTTCACCGATAGCATCCATTATTAACGCATGTATTTGGTCAGGAAACTCCTTGTCTGGAGTAATATATGTGCACACCAAATCTATAATGAAATCCTGTATCAGCTTATCAACAAAATCACTTAATGCAGCCTCCACAACGGTTGAACCAATTCCGCTCTTCCATGTTGGCGGGGGAATTTTAGTCGACAGGCGTGAATCATTCAGAGACAACTGTTTCTTCCCCAAATGAGATAAATATGTCGGTGATCTAGGTCGTTGAACCTTCCAATGGAACTCCACGTTGTCAAAAAAGATGTGCAGTGCAGAAAACAAGAGAACTGACGCTGGTATATTCATCCACATCGATTCACTTGTATCTGTGATAAACAATAAAGAATAACAATGAAACAAAAATCACTCTTAGTAACAACCAAACCATGTTCCTCTTTGGTCACTTTGATTAATTTATTATTTCGATCTTTAATTATGTTTGCTTTGTATCCAATTTATCATTTAGCTTCTAACTAGTTATATGTGTTTCCAAGCTAGTCAGCTCTGTCCCTTATGTTAGACCCATAGGATGTTAAATCAGTTCGGTGCATGTCTTTTAACGAAATTAATACTTTAGAACATACGGATACAGGTTATACAAATTAGAAGTTAAAGGGTCAAGTGTTACATGGTAAACTTCAGATGAAATCAAAACAATCTATGAACATAAAAGACCAAAATATTAATTTAACCCTCCTTTTTTCTTCTTAATGAATACACACGCGTCCAAAATCATAGCTAAGACCGTGATAAGCTCTCATATTAGAGCACAACCATTACTCAGTGTATGCATAATGCAGGTATAAAATTCCAATTTCATTTCATAAGACCCGAGTTGATGATATGATACGTGACAAATAGAGAGCTAATCACAATTCATTGTGAAAGACAAAAGATGAACTAGATGTAACACGAAGGAGCGCATATCACTTACGAGTCAAGAAAAACGAAACAGCGAATATGCAAAGACCCCACCAGACAATTCGGACCTTTGCCTCTTCAATCAGGCCATTGATAGCCTCCGCTAGATCCATTGTTTGAAACCCGAAAATAGTTGGCATTACGATTCACCGGCGAAGGCGAGGTCAGAGTCTCAGAAAGCAGGTCGGAATTGAAAGAAATGTTTGAATCCAAAAACGGCAATACCAACGGGATCCCGTGGGAATCTTCCAGACCTGCCCATCAGAAGAAAGGAACTGGAATTTGTTTCGTCCATAATTCCGCGACACTGATAACGTATAGACGTTCTTTGCTATGTAATCAAGCTTTGCTCGTTTACGGTTAGCGCTACTTATTTTAGTTGCCGCCTCATGGACCGTTTAAATTAGTAGAAGTGTTCCCTGGACATCAAACATTAAAACCTTTTTTCAAGTTTTAAATTTTTTTATTGGCCACAGAAAAAATATTATAAAACTCTAACATTTAATAAATTTTTGAAGGAAAATTATTTCAAATTATAATATCCAGAAGTTATTTATTTCCTATGATTCCAAATTTACTACTTATTCAATTCAAATTTATCAGTTGAACTATGAATATTTACCATTAAAAATAACGTAAATTTATTTGGCTGAGAAATTTCTATCATTTATACCATGCGAAAGCAACAGTCCCTGTAGTGGTTACAACACCAAGCCCATGAGGATAGCAGGCTGTATAAAAGTCTTTTAATCTTTTTTAATTTAGTTTAACTTGAGAAAATTCAAACTTATCTAGTCTTGTTAAAAACTCATTTTTCAAGATTAAAAAGATTAAATTATTTTTTAGGTTGGACTAGATAGAAGATTACGCATTTGGACCACTTAGTCCAATCTGATACTATTAAATTTATTTAATATAATTATAATTATTTTACTAATTATTGTAATAATAAGTTAAGATTAATAATAAATTAACAACTTAATAAATCTAGTCCCTCGCGTAGTCGCACGCTCAGTTACTTACTCGCACAACACGCCCATTTGATTCCGCCATTCACTCAACAAACGAAGCCCTGGCCCTTCCCGTCCCTCCCATCCACCACACCGTTGACTAGGACATCTTCGTTCATCAAGTGCTCACCTCTTGCCTCTGATTCGCATTGATCCGTCACCTATTTCCTCTGATTCCCATCATGCCATCGCCTCTGATTCATATTGCGTTGTCGCCTCTGGCTATTGATTCAAGTTGCTCATCGTGGGTCCTTTGATTCCTTCACATTCTGCTATCTCTAAGGTATTTTTGCTACTTGTTGAGGTTAATTTCTTGTTCATTCATCCATAGGCTGCATTTAATCAATTAGTTACATTCTCTGCTTGTTTTAGATTTCTTTTCCTTTTAATAATAGTCAAGCATGTCAACTGGATGGTAGTGTTAGATAGCTTTTTCTTTTCATAACTAGTCTAGGTTGAGTTAGGAAAAATCACGAGAATGGTAATGCTCTCCCGCAATTAATACAAGTTTTTTAAAAAGATATGGAGTAGATATAATATAATACAATAAATTTGTATAGAAACAGAATAGCTCTGGTTTGTTATTAACAAAGTTCAATCTAAACATGGAATGTGAAATGCTTATGGCTTGAAAACTTCAATCATTAAGAAGACGACTTGAAGGCAACTGGACGGACGGATGCATTACATGGGGCTGTTAAGACTAAGTTTATCTATAGGGGATTGTTGTTCTTGTAGAGTTGAATTCAACAAAGATATCTCCCTGCTTTCAGGAGAATAATAGTCTTAGCCATGGAGTTTTTATACATCTAATTTGATGATTCCATTGCCCTATTTTGGCTTCTCTAGTCTTAGAGCTTATCCGTTATCCATAGTTCCAATATTTTTATATTGAAGCAAAGGCTTGCTTTCTCTTTGTTTTAGTATTAAAGAAATAAAACTTTCACATCAAAGGGAACGGGAAGGGCTTTATATTTTCATTATCCAGTGGGACTCATCCTAAATTAAATGTTGATCCATTAATTCTTTATTTTTCATTTATTAATTTCCTTTAGGTTGATGATGGTAAAGTAAATGAATCTGAGATTTGGCATGGTCTGGCAAAATCCTTATGAATTTGTTATGATTACAAGTATTTTTATTATCTTAATTAAGTTTGTTAGATTGAAATAAATCATTGCCTCTCGTAGAGGAAAAATGAAAAAAAAAAAGATAAGTGAGCATCAAACTACTAGAACCAATCTCCTAATTATATGAATCAAGTTTGATCCTATTAATTTTTGAGTTATCATTAACCCATACTAGACTACTATAGAGATGGACAGAAGGGGGACCAACAGAGGCCACGGCTCCCCTAACTTTTTAATTTTTTTTTAGTAAAATATAGGAGTTATATATTTTTAGTTCCTCTAAATTAGCACATTATAGAAATTATAAAATACTAAATGAAATTATCATTTTAATTTTATATGTAGTCTTTTACATATATATATATATATATATATATTAGCTATTTCAATAGCTTGAAGATATGGTTATCATAAAATTTACTCATTCTTAACAAAATAATATTATACATGCTCTTAAAGTATTGATATCATTTTATTTTGCTTTCATTTTATATTTAATAAAATAAATTGTGAGAATTATTATTAATAAACTTTGTTAAGTATTGTAACAAAAATTTTAAGATATATTGAATGTTATGTGCTTGATATCTATTATAAAATTATTTATCGAAAAGTTAGGAGATTTAGTGAAAATATTCTTCTAAAAAAATTACTTTTTTAGAAATAAACAAGCTATTGAAATTTATAATATGAATAATTTTTACATTGATATAATTTGATCTTATTGACATATAGATTTTTATGACAATTGAGCATTATTAATATGTTGGTAATTATTAATTAAAACAATTAAATAATAAATTTAATAAGTAAGTAATATAGTTTATTACATTGAACAGGACTTTAGATTTCAATGTTGTATTTAAATCATTTAATGCTTATAGAGATAAAAAATTTTACCAATTTAATGATAATTTATATTGAAAAAGAAATTGTTAAAAAATTTATCATAGACATAATAACTAATGATTTTTATATCAAGAAAAATTGATAAGCAAAATTATATATATATATACATATATCTATATTGTTATACATATGTAAAATTAAATATAAATATATATGTTAAACTGTTTATATTATGTCAGTGATATATACATATATACATGTAAAAAAAATTTTAATTGTTATATGTAATTTGTCATCTCAACCCCCTTAACAAAAAATTTTAGCTTTGCCCTTAAAATTATAGATTATTTAACTTAATTTTTTTATGAAAGAAATTAGATTTTGAATTAAGATGTAGTCCAATCTCATTTAATTTTTTGTGCAGCTTTAGAAGAAAGCATGGATAGGGGGCTGAAATTTGATATTTATTAATCTGATGAGCAAAAGTTAATTCTTCTTTTGTTTTTTTTTTTTTCGGGAAGTGAGGTAATTAATGGCATTCGACATGTTTAAAAGGATACCATGAACGCGGTTTTGTGTCTTTCATTCAGAGATGCTTGGTAGATCACCAGCTTGGCTGATACTGGGGCCTTGATATTTCAAAGTGGGCATGTACTTTGATCTAATTAACTTGAATCCCGTGCGTTGCACAAGTTTAATTTTTAAAAAAAAAAAAAATATTACTTTCTCCATTTAAATATATAAAATATTTTTAAATAAATCTCATCTCTCAATAAAATAATTACTACTTTCAAACTAATCCTATATTTTTATATTTATTTTTATTAAACATCTTATAATAAATATAAAATCATTATTAATAGTGACATTTAAAAAAAAACGACAATAACTACACCTTAAAAATTAAAAATGTCTTATATTTTTAAATATCTAACTCCTCAAAAAATGCCTTATATTTTTAATAAAGGAAGTATATATAACAACATTTACAAAATTTCATTTTAAGTAATAATATTTTATTAGACAATTGAAAAAACTTTTTAGATATATATTTAATTTTAAGAGGGGACGAATATTACTTGCTCGTTTCTAAGTATAATAAAAAATAATCAATTCATACAGTTTGAAGAAATTAATTAAGTGTAATAATTATGTCTAAAAATTTAAAACCAATACTAAATTATCCATACAATTAATAAAATATATTTGTCTAATGAAAATAGACAATTTAATAAAAATGTAATAAATATTTCTTGAAATTTATAATTTTACTTATAAATAAAAAGGAAGAAAAACAAGATAGTTTCTCTTATATTTAAAAATGAAATAATATGCTAGTTTATTCATAATGAAGTTGAGTTATTTAACATACCAAAGATTTTGTTTTTAACTACATTTTTAATATTAAACGGAGTAATATTAAGAGTAAAGGTATATAGTATTATTAAACTTTTTTATATATAGTGTTAGAAATTGTAAAAATAAAAGTTATAGAAATCAATACACTCTTTGTATGAGTCATCCAATCAACACACTCATTAAAAATTAACAATATGAAGAAGTTACAGAAATCAATATATTTTAGTCTATTAGTCGATTTAGCAATTTCTTTTTAAGATAATATAATATCCAAAATCAACGTATTTTTGCACGTGTATTGGTTTTTTTAATAACAATAAATAATAAATGTGCGTGGAGCCATCTTATTTTTGGGAAAAAAAAATCCCAGTGTATTGTCTTGAAATAAAAAATAATTAAAAAATAATTTCATCCTTACATCATAGTTTAAGAAGAATTTGGATTGCAATTCTAAACTTATTTTAAAGTAATATTTTTCCTTCAATTTTAAAAGTGGTGCAATGTCACACTTATGATTAATAAAATTTAAGTTTAATTATTAGTTAACTAAAAAATTATAACAAAAAATGTCAAAAAATTGTAGAAAAATACACCAAAAAATTAGAAAAAAACATTAAAAATTATAGATAGTAACCCAAAGAATTTACAAAAGAAGGCCAAGATAATTTTAGCAATTCTTTTTTTATAATTTTTTGATCAATTAAAAGTCAAAGCTAATATTTATTAATTATAAGGGCAATATTACATTGTTTTAAAATATTAAAAAAATATTGTATTAAAAACAAAGTTAGATTCCCAAATATTTTTGGATTTATAGTTCTAGAGTCATTTTACCATCTAACCCATAAAAAGATATACCTCCTTCGTTTAAAATATAAAATATTTTTTAAAGTGTTAGATATTTAACAAACATACGACATTTTTAGTTTTTTAAAGTGTAATTATTATCTTTTTTTTTAAATATCCTTTTGATAATAATTTTATATTTATTTTAGAGTATTTAATAAAAATAAATATAAAAAAATAAGATTAAGTTAAAAAGTAAATAACTTTTATTAAGAATAAAATTCGGTTAAAAATAATTTATATTTTTAACGGGGGGAGTAGTTCTTTATAATTAAATTATAAAATTACTTATATATGGAGAAAAATATACTTACTTTTCATTATTATAATTATTTATTTTTAACTACTTGTACAATTCTATTTCATATTTTTTAGATACAAATACATGATAAAATTATCAAATTAATATTTACCTAATATTTAACTTAATTAGTTTTTATGGTATGCTATGCTTATTTTGAAAAAAAAATGGAGGATATGGGAGATTTTAATGAAATCGATGTATAAAAAAATTGAGAAGTGAACTTATGTAAAATCTGAGAATTAATATACAAATTAGGGATTAATATTTACGGGGAATAAAATCTAGTTTAAATGAAAATACGAGGGGCGATGCTAAAAATATCTTGCCAGCCGCACGCCGTGGTTTTCCCGCACACCGCCCACCCTTCTCTGATCGACCAAAAAGTTCACTAAAATTCCACCTACGGTCCCGCTTCGTACATGATTCTGCCACGTGGCTCCTCTCCAGGAAGGATCAAACTGACCCCACTCGTGGGCCCACTGTCACCAAAAAGCTCGTTCTTATCAACGCTTAGTATCTCACTGTTCCCCACTGAACTGCCAATCCGATGGACCATATGCACCTGTCATTTTTCTCTTTCTAGTTTCTACAGATATTTTATTTATCTAATGTCTAATGAAATATCTCTAATCAATAATTCAATGGTTTAATTTCATCATCCTTATCCAGCCCCGTAAGGAAGCCACTGAAATTCGCAGTATTTAATGGTATCTTCTGCGTCGTTCCGTTACTCCTTATCCTCTTTCTGCTCCTGAGTTTCTAAAAGTGGGTTGTTTCTGGTGGACGCCATGATAAAGTCAGCCATGCTTCGATCTTTGTCTTCTCCCCTGCTTCTTGATCCGAAGTTATCGCCATCTTCTTCTTCTGCAAGATTTGCTTCCTCCACTATCTCTTGTTCGTCCGGGAGCCAGGCCTATATCCCCAAGCTAGAACCTTTTAGCCGATCCAAGTTTGAAAGGGCCGTCAAGGAGCCTCCGTTGATTCAAAAATCTGAAATAGAGCTCGCAGGTATCCTTCTTACAATCTCGTCTGCTTTCCGTGCTTCGTTTCATCTTCTGATTTTGAGCTGGGAAAATCAGAGCTTTAGGCGTCCTGTGATCATCGAAATTATATCGCCAAAGATTGAAATCTGATGGCAGTTTCTTTCATGGTTGATTCTCTGATGTGGTTAAATTGTAAACTTGTCGTTATTGTTCCTATTATTATTCTTTCTGATCTGCCTTGTAATATTTGCAGATTATTGTTCGACGCTTGAAGGTGATGAATCCTATGGTTGCTGGCAGGCTTACTTTGAGCTGAAGGATCTTGAAGTAAGTTCTTTTTCTTTCTTTCTTTCTTTCTTTTATTTCAGCAGGATGGGACGGATTATTGAGTTTTGTGTTTTTAAATTTACAGCCATGACAATTTTAATTAATATTATCTGGTCAAAACCTCTAAAATGAATTACCTTTTTTCAAAACTAATAATTGAACATGTTTTTCCATCATCAGAGACTCCATAAATGAAGTTTATGCCGGGAAAGAATGCCATTATTTTCACAAACATTAGCCACAATCTTTTGCAAACCCAACTTTTTCCCTGATTTCGAGGGGTTGATGATAAAGATCCGCAAAAGCAGGCTATAATTTTTCTTTTCTGAAAATTTTGAGGATTGTGAGGATGGAAAATAAGCCCTCTTTTGTGATAAATTTGCTGTATTTTCGTGGCTGTTCGTCTGGCCATGCCTTTGAGGTAATTCAATTTAAAAGTCTAAAAGCTTGTATACTTTCTGAGAAAGTAATTAAGATTGAAAATAATAATTAAGGATATTGGTAATTCCAGTATCTGATTCCTCTTAGTGCCTTGCATTATGCTTATAACCTGAGTGAGTTCTTTTTCTTGACGTTGTTGAAATATTTTGACAGAAAGAGGTCCCAAAAGCAGACATAGAGAGGTTGATTCTTCAGACAGGTGGCGTGAAGTCCTTAATAGGATGCGTACATGGCATTGCAAAAATGCACAAGCTGAAGAAGAATGGCATGTCTGTGCCGAAACTGGTGGCCTCGGAAGAGAGGCAAAGGCACTGTCCCGTACCAGATGGGCTGCCAAAATCTGATGAGGAAATGATGGAAGAGGAAGAAGGTAGAATGCCTGATTCTCCGTTCACAAGACTTCTCAGAAGCAAGGGCAGGTTCCCTGCTTGGTATTCCCAAGCCCCAGATCACCAAACAGATTGATGATTCACTGATTAATTATTATATCTCCTTAAATGGAAATGAGAGTGAGATTTGATCTGAACATGTGCTTATTGGATTGCTAATGACTGTTAAGTATTATAGTGGATGTAGAATTGTACATTGTGTTTACAGACGAGGGAGTTTTGATCTGGTTGGGTAGTTGGGCATGTTATGTATGATAAGTAAATTTCATTGGTTATATTTGGAATTGTAGCCCCAGTTCTAATATGATGAACTGTGTTATCTTTTTTATCCTTACTCAAATCTTCTTGGAATGCTTTTATTGAGCTTCATCTTCTCATATGCATATGTATTTTCAAGCCCTAGTATAGCATCCTTGACCTCGTTGATGTGTGTGTGTGTGTATTTTGGACCAACAACCTCATTGATATTATTTGAATGATTCAATTTGAACCCGTTTTCCCTCATCTTCATTTAAAAATAGGTTAAACTGATTTGAAAAACAGAATTTATATAATCTTTTTTGTTAGATATTACTTGCTAAGAAGTGCAAACAAATCATTAACCGCAAGTCTGACTAGAAGTAGTGAGTTCAAATCCTGCTTTGAATTTTGGGTAGAAAATATGGCCCCAATAGAGGTGCGTACGAGCTGCTTTAAAAACCTAGGATAGCATAACGAAATTAAAAGAAAGTTCAATCAATCCGTTTTTCCCATTCTGGCACTTCTATTTTTTAAAAAACCAATGGATCCATAAATTAGTGTTAAAATTTAGTTTTAAAAATAATACTCGAGGTCCGCATGGTGCATTCTTTTTTTTTTTTTTTTGTAAAATTCATCCTTATTTTTGTAACAGTTGAGTCTTTGATAGCATGCTGCGTTAACGTCAATATCCACTATTGATGTATCAGAGAAGAAAGGGGAGGAAGTTATAGCAGAATTAAGTTACTTTTTATTTAATTAATTCCTTTTCAGTAGTTGGCTAAATAAGTGGATCAACTTTTGATCATGTTTAGTTTGTTGAGTCAATTTCTGTTTGAGTCAGTTATTATCCCAGATATGTTGGGATATTTTCTTATTATTTATTTATTATTTTGCTATAATTTTTGCATTATAAATGGACTAGCTTCTATCATAGCTAGACATTGAGAAAATAAAATACGATTTCTCCTGGAGATTCTCCTACTTTGGCTATTAAATATTTTTAGAGTGAGATTCTTACTTTAATTTATTTAATAGATTTATTTGCTTTCTTTAGTTCTTAACAATTTGGTATCTGAGCTAGGTTCTATCAACATGGTGACCACACACTCCGGTAACGAAAACCATCGATCCTAACACCACTTCCTCCAATAACCCCCCACGCAATGAATCTGTAGTCAATCCATTTTCAAGAGATCCATTATCAACAATCGCCTCCAAATTAGAGACACTTGATTTGTTGAAAGAGAAGATAGAGGCCCTTGAGGCTTCTGCAACAAGTAGAGGCAAGCGAACCATGGAGAGTCACTATAGGCGCTCACACTGGAAAGATGATAGTGAAGATGATCATGACCGAAGGGGCCCATGTCCACCCTATACAAAAATTGAATTTTCAAAATTTAGAGGAGGAGATCCCTGAAGATGGATTTCGAAGGCTGAAAAATTTTTTCGGTATTATCAAACACCGGAAGATTCGAAAGTTGATGTTGCTTCAATGAATCTAGAAGGAGATGCTTTGGATTTATTCTCATGGGTAAATTTAGAACGTACCTTGTTGTACTGGGATGAGTTAGTCAAGACATTACAAGAGCACTATAGGCCTCCTAAATATCAAAACCGGACGAGCACCTTCCGACCATCAAACAAATTGGATCGGTACAGGAATACCGTCAAGAATTTACTAGGCGGGTAGCACGACTTTGCAACTGGCCAGAGCACTGCCTCTTAGGTATTTTTCTAGGTGGCCTCAAGGAAGAATTAAAAGCTGATATACGCATTTAAAAACTTAGAACAGTGTTTAAAGCTGCAAGTTTGGCCCTGGAATTTGAGAAAAAAGCTTAAAATTCACGTGAGCCCAGGCCCAATTCTTCATACTCCCAAAATCGCCCAAATCAGTCCCAATTTACACGTGATTTCGTGATTCCAGAGACTCCCTCTCACTGGCTTCATTTGCGTATCCCTCCCAACCAGCTCCTTCGGCCTCGACCACTCCTAAAAACTCCTCAACAGTCATGAGAATCTCCTGAAGATGTGGAACATCAAAACCGGCGAGATAAGGGTCTGTGCTTCCGGTGTGGGGCTATTTTCCGACCTGGGCATCGCTGCAATGCTTCTTTTTCTTTGCTGGAAATTTCTGAAGAAGGTGAAGAAATTCTAACTCCCCTACACGAAGGAGCCGAGACAGAAATGGAACCAGAGGGGGCCAAAATCTCATTTAATGCGATTCTAGGATAGTATTCGACAGCCACAATGAAACTTCAAGGCACGCTCAAGGGTCGCACTGTCCTGATTTTAGTTGATAGTGGCTCCACGCACAATTTTATCTCAGACGCAGTGGTATCCGAATTACAGCTCCCCGTGCAGACGGTTCCAACTTTTGGAGTTCAAATTGGTAATGGTAGTAGAGTGAAATGCCATCAGGTTTGCCCAATGGTTGAGGTAACAATTTCTGATTTAACTATTCAGCAAGATTTCTACCCGTTCTCCTTGGGTGGTTCTGATTTGGTACTGGGTATTAAATGGTTAGCGTCACTGAACATTGTGCAAGCTAATTGGAACAAAATGTTTATGATTTTTTGGCTAAATGGGAAGAAATATAAGCTGCAAGGCCTACCTACTAACAGTGATGTTTCAGTCCATCTCCATAGCATGCTTCTTACTCAGGAATCAAATAAGAAGAACATATCAGGACACTTGAATATTAATAGAATTTTTCATGATTTTGCTGATGTCTTTTCTGAGCCAAGGTGCCTGCCACCACCTCGAGATCATTACCATGCCATCAAGCTATTCCCAAATGCTACACCTCCTAATCTACGGCCATATCGTTACCCTTATTACCAGAAGGATGAGATTGAAGCTCAAATTGAGAGCTTGCTATAAAGTGGATTCATACGACCTAGCACCAGTCCTTTTGCCAGTCCTGTGCTACTCGTTGGCAAAAAAGATGGTTCGTGGCGCCTCTGCATTGACTACAGGTGTCTTAATCAAATCACCATACCAGATAAGTACCTTATTCTCAATATTAATGAACTCTTAGATGAATTACATGGGGCTGTCTACTTCTCAAAAATTGATTTACGATCTAGATATCATCAAATCTGAGTTCTACGGGAGGATGTACACAAAACAGCTTTTCGCACTCACTCAGGCCACTATGAATTTTTAGTTATGCCATTTGGTTTAACTAACGCGCCAACTACCTTCCAATCTATTATGAATGACTTATTCAGGCCTTATTTATGGAAATTCATGTTGGTATTTTTTGATGACATCTTAGTGTACAGTGCTTCCCCCAACAGCATTTACAACATCTAACCACAGTATTTCAGATTCTACAAAAGCAATCCTTCTTTGCTAATGCAAAAAAATGCTCGTTAGGCCAAACTCAAATTAGCTACTTGGGCCATATGGTTTCTGCCCAAGGGGTTGAAGTGGATTCTGAGAAAATAACTATAGTAGTGCAACGGCCTGCTCCCAAATCTGTAAAAGAGCTCCGTGGGTTCCTAAGGCTCACTGGTTATTACAGGCATTTTGTCAAAAACTATGGTATTATCGTTAGACCCTTGACTGAACTAACCAAGAAAAATTCTTTTTATTAGTCTGAATAGGCACAAAAAGCTTTTGAGGCATTAAAATTAGTAATGACCACCACACTGGTGTTGCAATTGCCAAACTTTCATCTTCCTTTCACCATTCAGTGTGATGCTTCAATGGAGGGTATTGGTGCTATCCTAGTTCAAGAAGGACATCTAATATCTTATTTCAGCAAGGGATTCTCTTTTTCCAACAGGTATAAGTCCACATATGATAGGGAGCTATTGGCTCTAGTGCTTGCAATTCAACAATGGCACCACTACCTACTTGGTCGTCATTTCTATGTCCAAACTGATCATTGCAGCCTTAAGTACCTCTTGGAACAGAACACCCTCACCAATTCCCAGCAGTGAATGATGCTTTATGTAACAGCACGGAGCCACCCCTTGGGCCTCGACTCGGTACTGGACTCTGGCCCATCACTGGACCAAAGCCGACTTTCCCACAGGTGGTACTGTGGTTATTCCTCACCACTGCCTCTCCAGGGTCTTTTGGAACCTCCCCAGACTCGAACCTCCAACCTCTACCACCTTAACAAAGTTAAGGCTAAGTCTGGTACCATACTCAATGGTACCAGACTTAGCCTTAACTTTGTTAAGGTGGTAGAGGTTGGAGGTTCGAGTCTGGGGAGGTTCCAAAAGACCCTGGAGAGGCAGTGGTGAGGAATAACCACAGTACCACCTGTGGGAAAGTCGGCTTTGGTCCAGTGATGGGCCAGAGTCCAGTACCGAGTCGAGGCCCAAGGGGTGGCTCCGTGCTGTTACATAAAAGGCGCCTTTTATGTAACAGCCCTCCTGGGTCACCACTGCCTCTCCAGGGTCTTTTCCCAGGCGCTGGACAACACACATGTCACCACATGATTGCCGGCTTTCCCACTGATGGTACAGTGGTTATTCCTCACCCCACCCTCACGGGGGTCTTTTGGAACCTCCCCAGACTCGAACCTCCAACCTCTACCACCTTAATGAAGTAGAGGTTGGAGGTTCGAGTCTGGGGAGGTTCCAAAAGACCCCCGTGAGGATGGGGTGAGGAATAACCACTGTACCACCAGTGGGAAAGCCGGCAATCATGTGGTGACATGTGTGTTGTCCAGCGCCTGGGAAAAGACCCTGGAGAGGCAGTGGTGACCCAGGAGGGCTGTTACACTTAAGCTTCTTCCTTTCAATTTTACCATCATATACAAAGCAGGAAAGGACAATATAGCAGCTGATTCACTATCACGAAGGCCTCAACATGCTAATTTTTTTTAGATTGTCATCCCTCTAGCAGATGCCTTACAACAATTCCCTACAGCATTAATGACAGACCTTGAAACCAAAGCTATTGTAGATGCATTACAAATAAATCCACAATCTCACCCACATCACAGCTTGGTGGAAGGCATATTATATTTTAAGGGACGACTTGTGATTCCAAATGATACTCAATTACGAGCTAAATTTTTAGAAGAAGCACATACGACTCTAACAGGTGGTCATGGAGGGTTCCTAAAGACCTTGAAGCGATTAGGATTAAGTGTGCATTGGCGAGGTATGAAAACAGATGTTAAACATTTTGTATAAAGATGTTTAATTTGTCAACAACATAAATATGAAACTCTTGCTCCTGCTGGACTCCTTAACCCACTCCCTATTCCGAAGCACATTTGGGAGGACATATCTCTTAACTTTATCACAGGGCTCCCAAAGTTTAGAGGTTTTGATGTTATCTTGGTGGTGGTTGATCGGCTCAGTAAATACAGCCATTTCATTGCTTTGTCACATCCTTATTCTGCAAAAACTGTGGCTGGTTTATTTTATCAAGAGATTGTACGGTTGCATGGTATTCCTTGGTCAATCGTTTCAGATCGTGACACCATTTTTCTAAGTGCTTTTTGGCAAGAACTTTTTTGCTTGAGCCAGACACGCTTAAACATGAGTACAGCTTATCACCCACAATCCGATGGCCAAACCGAGGTAGTAAATCGTTGTTTGGAGACCTATTTATGATGCTTTGCTCATGAGCAACCTAAATTATGGAGTAAATTTCTCTGCTAGGCTGAATTCTCATTTAATATCAGCTTTCACTCCTCAGCAAACACTACTCCATTTAAACTAGTTTATGGGCGTGATCCTCCTCCTTTGTGCCCTTATGTTAAAGGAGAAACATTAGTTGCAGATTTAGAGGAGCAACTGGAGCTACGTGATGCCATGCTTAAAATACTACGTGATAACTTAAAGAAAGCACAAGATAGGATGAAAGAATAAGCAGATCAGTATAGGTGGGACCTTCAATTTCAACCAGGGGATGCAGTTTTTCTACGTCTTTAACCTTATCGCCAAAAGTCCTTAGCTAGACGTAAGAATGAAAAATTGTCCCCCTAATTTTTTAGACCTTATACAATTGTGAGGCGTATTGGAACAGTTGCTTATGAGCTTGACTTGCCTCTTGAGTTTAAGGTGCACCCTATTTTTCATGTCTCCCTACTTCGGCCTACTCATGGGCAGCAACCATCTTCACCACCAGCACCTTTACCTCTTTCTGCAAATCTGGAGCTCCTCCTTACGCCCTCAAAGGTACTGAATCACCGCTGGACACCAGGAGGTATTCTGAAAATTTTAATTCAATGGGATAATCATCCTCTTGAAGATGCAAGCTGGGAAGACTATGATTTAATAGCCATTCAATTTCCCACTTTTTGACTTGAGGACAAGTCTATTTTTCAGGACGGGGGTATTGATAGCATGCTGCATCAACGTCAATATCCACTATTGACGTATCAGAGAAGAAAGGGGAGGAAGTTAGAGCAGAATTAAGTTGCCTTTTATTTAATTAATTCATTTTCAGTAGTTGGCTAAATAAGTGGATCAACTTTTGATCATGTTTAGTTTGTTGAGTCAATTTCTATTTGAGTCAGTTATTATCCCAGATATGTTGGGATATTTTCTTATTATTTATTTATTATTTTGCTGTAATTTCTACATTATAAATGGACTAGCTTCTATCATAGCTAGACATTGAGAAAATAAAATACTATTTCTCCTGGAGATTCTCCTACTTTGGCTATTAAATATTTTTAGAGTGAGATTCTTGCTCTAATTTATTTAATAGATTTATTTGCTTTCTTTAGTTCTTAACAGTCCTACAGGCATGTCTCTGCTTTATTTCTTTTTTGCTTTTGATAATCTACTTTTACGAGACAACACTACATTGGTTGGAGGAGAGGCGAGAATTTTGAAAGGAGGTGAGAAAAAGTAAGGGAAGGCAAGGCAAGGAAGAGAGAAAAATGAAAAATCCCTCGAGATCTCCTTAATCAGAGTGGAGGTCCCCCCCCAACGGGGATTCATTAAAATTTTCTCTTTTTATAAAAGGTTGCTGAAAGATAACTTACAATAAATTAAAATCTCATGATATGTTATCTTATAAAAAATAATGATAATTGAAATAGCCTCACAAGTTTAAGTGAGATTCAAAATTATATTAATCAAAATTTATTGTCCTCTCTCAATTCAATAGAGAGGTATTTATAAGAAAAGACTCTGACTCTAACTAAAAATCCTAATCATAGAAGGACTTCTAAGTAAGCTTTAATGAATGACTTTAGTCCAAAAACCTATTATAGGCTATTAGGGCCTAAAATACTAACTTAAAAAAAATAGGTGCGAAAATACATTAAAAATAGAAAAACTATAACGTAATTAACATAAATAGGCTTTAATTGGATTAATTGGATTGGTCTTCATGTAGTGCCTTTCATAAGCCCGTATAAAGCTCTCATTAAATCCAGTAAGACTTGGTCTTTTGAATACTATTCACACTCAAATTCCCATGGTATATTGGGATATGCATTTGGCCTTAAATGTGCAAGATTATTGTCCAATTTACCCCCTCCAAGTATATACTTATTTATTGGGTCCTTGATATAGTGATTTGGGCTGATTTGGGCTCCTAACACATCTTGAAATTTCTTGATTATGAATATCTTCACCTAAGCTTTTCCCTACTTGGATGATTGAGTAACATAACATGTCACTTATGACATGATTGCCATGTACGTTGCCATGTAGGATTGAATGCCACATATGCTATTATTTAGGACTTCATTGACACATAGGATGCCAAATTGAATGCCACTTAGAATAACAACTTGGATGCCAACTAAATTGCCACATAGGATCACATCATCTCTCCGTCCCTTAATTGTACTTCTTCTAGACAAGGGAGGAGAAGCATCTCCTCTTTATTTTTTAATCCAAACAAAAGGGAGAGAAAATTTCATTTCACTTCGGCCAAATATAATGTTAAAGGTAGGACTTGGACAATACAATTTTTATTTTATTTTTTGACGAGTGGTGCAAATTTAGAATAATAGTTAACATTATAGTCATTTCATGTTTAACAGCATTTTTTTTAAAAAAATAATGTTAGTTTATGACCAAATACATAGGCAGGACAAACTTATTGTCAAATTGAGGTTTGAACGTCTTTTTAATTTGTATGATTTTTAATTAAATTATTATAATTTAATATAATCTTAACTTAATTCTTACTGCTAAATTTTCATTTATGTTTTGTTTCATGATAAGGATTAAACAAAAAAAGTAAATCTTAAAAATTAATAAAACTATAAAGATGAAAATTTTAAATTTGAATAATTGTTCAAGATTTTTTTTGGACTTGGGCTTTGGATTTCAGAATCGAGATCGAATGGTTTTGATTGAAAAGCCCAGTAAGCCTCAGAAATCAGAAATAAATATTTTTTTAAAAAAAAAGAAAGAAAGAAAGAAAGTCTCCTGGAACAAAGTCGTTTTCAGAGCGCTGCCTTCACCAGTGCGCTGGAAAGGGTTTCACCTCCAACCAAACGAGATTAAACCATTTTTTTGGGGTTTAGCTTTTGAAAGGAAGAAAAGAAGTAAGAAGATCGTTGAAGTTTTCTGGGAATCTGAGATGGAAGAGGAGAAGAAGGAAGTTGCAGAACAAGCAAAAGCCGAAGAGGCAGCCCCGCCTCCACCCACTACTGGTGGCGGTGGAGCTTGGGGCCGTTGGGGTCTTTCTTTTTCCGTCCTCTCAGATCTTCAAAAGGCCGCTACCGCCGCTGCCGAGGAGATCTCACGCAATGTATGTTTGGAATGCTTTTCGTTTGCTATCTAATGAAGCATTTCATTATCTGTATTTTGATTTCTATTTTCTTGTCGAGGCTATGATTCAACATCTCTTTCAGATTTTCTCGCGATGCGTATTGAAATGATTGACAATTGCATCTAACATATTGTAAAATTTAACTTTTTAGTCGTTCTGGACTTAAGGCTTGTACAATTAGCCGCTTTGAATCGTTTTAGCTCAATTTGAATGTTATGCCTACTTTGATTATCCTTGAAGCTCGATTTTTGCCATCAAAATCTCACACAATTAGGTAAAATTTTTCAAGCAAAGCAACAATATGGGAAGAAACGAGAGGGAGAAGGGGGAGAAAGGATACAGATAACATCTGTTAGGCATTCTATGGTATGGAAGTTGAATCTTGTTGAATCGGATTTGAAGAATTGGAGCTGATACATATGTATGAGCTCAAAGCATAAGCGCCTTATATTTGCATATTCAGCTTTGATTGGGTGAAATAAGAGTCCATTGCTTTTCTTTAACTCTATTAGTGTTTTGGGGTTTATATGCAAACTTAAAGATCCTAAAATGTGTTTTGTGTTATTCTTTTTTTAACTCACCTTGAAATTTAGTATTCTTTTCAATACCATTTTATCATGCTATTTTGCTCCTCTATCTTGCAACACAGGCTGCTGTAGTTGCTGAGACAGCATCCAAAACCATTGCTGAGATACAAAACACTTCTGAAGATTCAAAATCTTCTAAAGAGATGGAAGGGGAAGATGTAGCTTTAACTGAAAAGGAAAGTGAAGATGAAAATGACAAACTACGAAAATCTACTCTGGAAAAATTGGAGAAAGCTAGCGAAGAGACAATACTTAGCCAGGCAAGGCATAAAAGGAACCTTTTGTTTTCCCCCCAACGATGTTGATGCTAGATCTTTAATGGATTCCATATAAGAGCCAATGAGATTCTTTGTTTATAAATGCTTGGCCATTGTTAGTGTTGCCTTTTCTTTCATCCCTAAGGTCTATGGTTTGAAATTGAATTAGTGAATATGCAATCTACAGTTTCAGATTTATATATTCGCTGCCAAGTTAGTTGCCTGCTTGCTTGTGAAATTATGGCTTGATAAAAGCCTTGAACCTATTCTCTTGTACATAACCAACTTACTTTCTTCTAGTTGTGACTTATTCTATTTTAGTTTGGGCCTTGGAATTGTTATGAATTGTAGGCCACTGACCACATTGCTCGGAAAAATAAAGAGACTTGATGATTTGATGTAGTTGAACAATTGAAGTGGCTGCAAAACATGCCTTTGTATCTTTGTTATTGTGCATGCAAATTGATGGCTCCAAACATTTTAGAGGTTTATAGTGAAGTTTTAAATCAATTTGGAGTCATTTAAGTTATTTTTAGGGGCAATTTGACTATCAACAACAACATCAATAACAACAAGCCTTTATCCCACTAGGTGGGGTCGGCTACATGGATTGCAAGACGTCATTGTGCGCTATCATTTATCAAGCTTTTAGAAATATTATTAATTAAGAGATCACATTCAATAACTTCCAAGAGTGTTCTCTTAGGCCTTCCTCTACCTCTCTTAATCGGACTCAAAGTTTTGACTATCATTTGAATAAAAGTTTTTGAAGATGAAAGGGGAGAGTTGAGTCTTCTTTTGGTAGATTTGACTGATTAATGAAGCTAAATTTTACATTAATGGGGATGTGTTGTGTGTAGGGTGCCCAAACCATGAATCAAATTGTCACTACTATTTTCCTTGTTTTAAGCATCAAGCACCTAGATTTGAGCTCCATAATGTTTGCAGGGTCTGAAGGTGTTTGATAATTCTGTGGAAAATTTAACATCAGGAGCATGGAATGCTTTAGGAAGTGCATGGAGAGGGGGCACTGATTTAGTTCAAAGGTATGATTAATTCCTTTGAAAAAAACATTTGGGTTGCACCAATGTAGGTGCACGAACTTTATACAGTCAATGATAGCTATATTCTTCGCTGATTTGGATTCCCAAAACCAAAGTGACCTTCATGTCTATGGTTTTGTTTAGTGATATTTATGAGTTGTGGAGTACAGATTTCAGTCTGTGTTGTATGATTAATTGTGCTCTGCAGTTGCCTTCAAAGCCATGTGCCAAAATTAGCAAGTTTAAAACCTGAACCTTGTGTTTAATTAGTAGGTCTTAAACATATTCTAGCTTATTCTGTTGACTGAGAAAGGCTTTGTATTGTTTATTTGATGACAGTGTATCTCCGCTTTCCCATAAGTTTAGTGCCCGTTTGGTCCAATTGCATCCATCAGGATTCCTGATGCACTTTGCTTATTCCTGATGTTTGGTTGGACTTAGTAATGTAAAAGGAATTACATTATGTAGTCCAGATTCCCTTAAAACGGTGCATCCTGATTACATAGCCAGGCCTCATGAATGGGGATTACATGATGAGTAAAAGTCACTTTTACCCTTAAAAAATCAGGTAATCCCTCTGCTTTCTCCATTGCTAGTCCCCCTCCTGCGGCAACATCATCAGTCACCAACGTCAACCTTCACACCAGCACCACCAGTGAAACGTTTGCCATCAGCTGTCATGCCCCTGCCTTGTGGAACGAAGATTTAGAATGAAGTGACGGATCTAGATGTCATTGCATCTCATAGATCTGGAAGCGTTCCTTTCCCTTCACCATGTTGACACCACCGACAAGGCCTCCATCATTGTGCTCTTATCACCATCACTGTGCTCCTTGCCGTTCTGCTTTCTCACTTTTCCTTCAGATCTCACCTTTTGGACATCATTGGTCATTTTTGTCTTTGTGGCTGAGAGTGAAAGAGAGAGCAATCTGTAATCCTTGTTGCATTACATTCCACTGCGTATCATTACATTGCATCATATTCCCTGCAACTCCAAGAACCAAACGGGCTATTATAGTTCAAGAGAATTCTGTCTTTCATTTTCTTTGATAGACACCACTGAGTCGTTGAAGTTCCAAGTATAACTTGTTGGTGTTGGAAAGAAAGACACTCGTTTCCTACTATACAACAGAGTGTTGTGTCTATTGTGGTGATTAAACTTAAAAAAAAAAAATTAATAGATATTTATGTTCTTCAGGTCAGCTGCAAACCTTGCAGGTTCTGTGCAGCAGGTTGCACCAGCAACAGTTGGTTCTGGTGTGCCGTCCCTATTAGAGGTTTGGAAAACTTTTGGTCATTTTTTCATATGATAGTCGCTGCTTCTTGAAAGTTATGAGCTTATTTTTTGCTGTCATGTGACAGACTGGTAAAGCTTTTACTGCAAAGGGAATGCAAGTACTAGAATATGTTGGTAAGGAGACAATGGACTTGTTAATTACTGAAACTGGAATTGAGGTCGAGAAGGCTGATAAAGAAGCTGAAGAGCAAAAAGATGAGGATCAATCATTAGAGGAAATGACCTTTGATAGATGCTTTTACATATATGGAGGCCCAGAGCAGTTGGAGGTAACCTTAGCAGAATATACTAATGTATCGTTGTTGATATTATGGCTTTAGCAAAGCATTTAATATGTGTGTCAGGAACTGGAGGCTTTGTCTAGTCATTATGCCCTATTATTCAACCGAAGAAAAACAAAGTTATCACCAGAACAAAAATATTTATATGATGGGAAGCTTAAAGAGGTCCAACAGATTTTCAATTTGAGTGCTGAAAATGATGGAAGCAATGTTGATTTAAGCAAAGGAAAGAAAGTAGAAAAGGGAAATGAGGGAAGCAGTGACGAGATGAAGAATTTACATGACTCAAGTGTCTGCAACGCTGCTGAAATGGCTGCAGGGTATCTAACCACTCCCCTGTTTTACCGTCCTACTTTTATCACCCGTGATTGTTACTGCATACCAGAGAATTAAATCCGTTCCATTTCTGATGTGCCCAAATTTGCGTTTGTATATGCAAGAGATTGGAAATATGAGTATGAACAAGCTAGAAAAAGAAGATAATTTGAATGCGAGGTCTTCATTATATTGTATGCCCTAATTCTAATTGGCTCTTCCTATATATGTCTTGCAGTTTTACCAGCACCTTGGGTGGACTAAATGTAAATGATATAATCCAGCGAACTGCCAGGAGATTAGAATCTCTTCATTCAGAGGGTGTTCATGTATGAGAGAATATACTGCAATTTACTAGAATAGAACAAACAAGTGTTATTATCTTCATAACTTCTTTATTTAAGAATGTGAAGCTTGTTGGAAATTTGAGTGAGACAGTTGGCATTTCTTTGCAGAGGCTATCAGAAATGTGCTGTTTTGCGGTGTCTCAATTGTTGATCATTGGCAAATCCATCATGTCTACTGCTAACAAAGCCAAAGATGTAGACAATGATGAGCAGAACGTGAACATAGAGTGGCCTGAGGATGTTGTTGAAAAAGCTAAGATGATCAGAGTAAATGCCCAAACAATGGTAGGATATGTGGAAGCAGTTTCCAACAGTTTCATTACAGGTTAGCTGTCCATCCCTTCCATCCCTGATTGTAATTTGTAATAATATATTGATGGCATTCCAATTACGCCATCGGGTGTAAATGTCCAAATGATGATGCCTACGTTACTGACATCTTTGGAAACAAGGTTGACTTGTTCGACATTACAAATAACATATCAGGATTTGCTTGACAAACGGCAATTACATGTTAATGTCGTCTTCACAGGAATATCTGACGTAACTGAGGCATATCAAGCTGCCATAAAAAGTGCCACTGCCGAGTCTCGCGAAGTTCTTCCAGGTACTTCAATTCAGGAAAAAGCCGGTGTCCTCTCCGAGCACCTTCGATCGGATAAAAAAACAGCAGTACAAAAAATCCAGGATGGGCTGCAATTGTTATCCCATGTTGTCGTTTCAAGTTCTATGAATGCGGCTGCTTGAACGCAGCTGTGCTTTTAATCTCTTGCCCTATTCTTACATCAGATTTAGTGTAAATAGTCACATTTTAGAGGGAACATGACATTCCAATGTTGATATACTCTACCGGACCACGAGGTTTGATTTTACCATGTTTCACGTTGTTGATTAAACCCCATTGGGATCCACTTCCATTTCCACGGGTGAAAATGAAACTGGAAGAAATGCATACATGTAATTTGTTTTTGAAAACTTTACTAGATTTTTATTTATTTATTAATTATTAATTGGGCACACCTCCCGACATATGGCAAATCTGCATCCGTGATTAGTGGGCGAGGCGGTCACTCATTGATCATTATCTTAATAAAAATTATTTCCTGGAATCATCCATGGAATCTTATTATCCTCACTAAGCTTGAATCATTATTCATTAGTGAACATGATTAATAAAAAATTATTTCCTGCAGTCACTAAATCACGGGTGGAACATGATTAATCTTTTTTTAAATTTTTTAAAAAAATGATCAATTTTTAATTATTTGATGTCACATTGTATTATATCACTTATTAAGTCATGATAAATTTAAAATATTTAATTTTATGTTTAAGTTAAGTAATAATTTTATATTTATTTTTTATATGCAGATGATTATATATATATATATATATATAATTTTTTTAATTTAATTATTATGTTATTGGTTTGATTAGTGGTCTAATTTGATTGGATCATATGAGTTGTGAATCACTGATTTTTTTGATTTAATATGCGGTTTGATTTTGAAAATATTAGTTATTATCCTTACTAAACTAAAATTATTGGTGAATTGGAGTTAGGCTTTCAAATAAACAAGTTGTTTCTTTTACTTCAAAAGTATTTCAATTTTTTTGAGAGAATGAGTTGAGTCTTAAGAAAAGAAATCAATGACATTTATGTTTTTGACAAAATTTTTTAAAAAATAAATTATAAATATCAATTTAAACAGTTACAAATTTATAAATTTTTATTTTTAATTATAAATAAGATATTTAAATTTTAAATATAATTCTCAATTTATAGTTAGACTCTCTATTAATAATTATTTAAATTAATATTTACAATTTAATTTTCAAAAAATTTTGTCGAGCTAATTCTTATTAAATTTTTTAAATATTTTTTTGTCATTCTTTCAAATTGTCATTTAGTTATAAAAAAATTATCTTTTTAATTCTTTTTTATAAGAAAATACTTGAAATTTGTCACCAAGAAAAACTCAGTGCACCCCCACGTCAACCCTACAATTTATAAACTTGAACATCCTTGTTCATTGAAATACTCTTTTCATTTATTTAATATTATAAGACATTTTTATTGATTCCATAAGTTATTTAATTATTTTTAAATTACATATTATATTTATGTTTATATTTATTTAATTAAGCATCTTAATTAAAAAATCTTATTAATTACGCTCACTAATTAAGGTTATTTTCTAAAACTTATTAATTGCACTTAAAAATCTTATATTTTTTTAACATGAAGGGTGGGTATATATGTAGAGTAAAAATAACGGACTAGAAATTGACATATTTATCATTCAAAAACAGATAAGGCGCATTTTGTCTGAATTGCAAAGGATGGGATCCGCTGGATTCAAGTTAATTACATCACGAATCAAAATCTTCTAAAAAATCTTTTTGGGCCAAAAGCAGACTTCATTAAATAACAAAACAGGTTCCAGACGTAAATACAAAAACCAAACGAAGCAAGAAACCAAAGGACAGAACAGAGGAAACGAAAAACGAAACAAGAGAGGAAAGGCTAAAAAAACTTGATTAAATATTAGAGAGCTTTTTTTTTTTTATATGCTACCGATTAATATTACATTAACTGGTCAAAAAATTTAAATCAGATGACCCACGCATGAAAATTTGGTCAAATGGTTAATCGATAAGAAATATGACGTTAAATTCATGAAATTTTAAACTGCTAAATTAAGAATATTCTCATCCTTCAGTCACTCCAGGACAAAAAGTCGCTTCAACACGTCCAAGTTCTCCACTGCATGCAATGCCACGAGTCCGCCAAATCGAAACCAAAATAAAATTTGCTTTCTCCACGCCCTGATATATAAATTCAATATGGAGAACGAATTTGAGAGGGCGAGACATCTGTCAGCCATGGGAGAGATCGATCCGTCCTTCGTTCAATTGCCAGACAATCGGCCCAACCCTAAAACAGTGGACCCCGACGCCGTCGCTGGTGAAATCCCCGTCATCGATCTCTCCGTCTGGAATGAAGAGCTAGTCCAGCAGGTCGGCAGCGCCTGCCAGGCTTGGGGATTCTTCCAAGTCATCAATCACGGCGTGCCCGTGGAATTATACAAGAAGGTTGAGATCTGTGCAAAGAAATTCTTCGAGCAAAGCCCGGAGGAGAAGAAGAAAGTCAAACGAGATGAGATGAACCCATTGGGCTACTACGACGGCGAGCACACTAAGAACGTCAGGGACTGGAAAGAAATCTACGACTATCTTGTGAAAAACTCGGTGCAATTTCCAGCCTTTCCCGATCTCCAAGACCAGGAGTTGAGGACAATCAGCAATCGATGGCCCCAATACCCGGCTGAATTCCGGTAATTTCAACAATTACATCTTAGCATTCTTTTCTGAAAATTTCTGAATTAGACGATGAAATATTGAATTGAATACGGGAAAATTGGGGGGGCTAGGGAGACATTGGAAGATTATGCTGGGGAAGTAGAGAAGGTGGCTTACAGGTTGCTGGAGCTAGTTGCGTTGAGCTTGGGATTACCTGCTCAGAGATTGAAAGGATATTTCCAGGACCAACAGATGAGCATATTGCGACTTAATTACTATCCTCCATGTCCCTTCCCTCACTTGGCTCTCGGAGTTGGGAGGCACAAGGATTCCGGTGCTTTGACGCTGCTTGCCCAGGACGACGTCGTAGGATTGGACGTTAAGAGGAAATCAGACGGTGAGTGGATTCCTGTTAAACCCCTCCCAAATGCTCTCGTCGTCAATGTCGCCGACATTCTTCAGGTATTAATTTTGTCAAATATAGATGGACACGCGATCCTTTTCTACAGATCGTAAGAGCATATCTTTCTTCAACGTCTGTGAAATAGTGATGTGTGGAGATCGGTGCAGGTGTGGAGCAATGATAAGTACGAGAGTGTGGAGCACAGGGCGGTGCTGAACAGCGAGAAGGGAAGGATTTCGATTCCATTCTTCTTCTTTCCGGATCCGCATGTGGTGGTGAAGCCGTTGGAGGAGCTTGTGAATGAGCAGAACCCTGCAAGATACAGAGAATACAGCTATGGCAAGTACTATGCCAACAGAATCTACGGTGATTTCAAGAAGCGTGAGGTCGACAATCTCCAGATTCATCACTTCAAGATTTTGGATTAGCCATCTGAAGCTGATCAGCTTCATCCATCCATGGCCGCATCTGATTAGAAATAAATGTGCTGCTTTTCTCTTGTCAATAACAAATGCTCAATGTAATGTGATGTTCACTAGGTAGAAAAATCTTTTTTAAAAATAGAAACCGCACCTATCTCAATTTCTTTCTAAATATATTTTTCATTTCCTTTAATTTTAATTTCTAGCACTATTCGATGCACGCCAAACATATTCGGTCTCAGTAGTTAGTGATTGCAATATTAATGTCAAAATGAACTCTATCTAGTTTCTGTTCACGCATGTACCATGATCATTTCAAATGTGGTAAATGCTACCTTCCCCGTCAAATACAAAATGCTTATGTGATGTTTTGGTACTTCAATATATATATATATATATAGAAGACTGGTTATTGGCAATTCAAATATAACATGCTTATTCGATGTTTTCCTTATACATGCTGATTATTTTTGAATGAAATTCTCCTTTCACTAAAAAAAAAATGTAGGCTAACCCGTTTTGGAAATGAGGCGGCTAAATAAGTGAGCTTCAAAGTGGGTCGGCTCAACCCAGATGGCTTTCTTTGTACACACATATGTTTATTTGAATTGTAATGGTTAGCAAAGCTTTGTGAGGTTACATGACATTGATCATTAAGAAAGAGTTATCCAGTATTTGCAAGGTGATCTGCACAAACGACAGCTTTCTCTTGGGATGTCCTAGTCTTGTTCTGACGATGTATCACTTGGCGGGCAAGTCCAGACATGTGATCTTCGTTTGCCCTCATCTGCAAAATTGTTGTCTTGTATTGAGTTTTTCTGTCTTCAACCAGTCTAAATATGGCTGCAGATGCGGGAATTCTTTGTTTGTTGGGAAACAAATTTGCTTCTGGCTAGGCCCCAAAAACTAGCAAGTGTATGCAAATGCTTTGTTCCACGTCCAACGCTCCAAGTCACGACCTGCTAGCCGTATCAACCTTTCTCTTTTAAAATCACAGCCTGGTGTGGTGGCCGGCAACAATCAACGTTATTCACTATTAATGATGGAGTGACATGCAAGCTGACAAGAGACCCGCGTCTACATGTGAGCCCACCGGGTAATCTCTGCGACTACATCATTCTTTTTAATTTTTTTGTGACACCAAACATTTTTGTGGGTCCGTCGTTTGGAATTGTTAAATTGCCTGCCTAACCAACCTGTTTAGTCTTTATCAACAACTCCATTAGAACAATCAGACATCTATGCGTCCTCCATTGATCATGTATTCAAAAGGCAAATTGTACTGACTGATTGGCTTATCAACTTGATACTAATAGTTTTAATATTAGGACTTTTGATACATCACCACTAGGTTGGAAGGACTGTTTATATTCAGGGGTATCCTGATTTGTTTGTAACTGTACAGTTTTGACTGTGGCCTTGTGAACTAACTAAAAAAAAAAAAGAATTTATAAACTGCAAGTGTTATGTTGTCAAAGTAGTAAAAGCCATCATAATGAATATTCTACAGCTTACTCGACCCAGGAGTACTTTGGAGAAACTTTTTGCACTGGTTGGAGAATGCTAGTATAGCCAGAAACAAGTAAAACCACAAACACCTTTTTATGGATGCGCTTATCTCTATCAAGTTTCGGCAAGAAAAGATACCCAGCCAACAAGAACAAGACGAATGAGGCGAGGGATGGACCTACATGTTGTATAGAAGGGGCAGTTGCCTCCACAAATATTTTGCGAATTCTTTAATAAATATATGTAATATGTGTATCATATGCTTTCATCTTATATATATATATATAGATATTAATTGCCCCTAATGATAAATAATATCACTTTCTTATGCCGTTTAAATTTTTTTTATACTCATAATTTTCATGACCCACGTAACATTTTATTGTCATTATTTTATGTGTGGCTATTTATTTTTCTCATTAAAATCAACTTTTCCCCCCAATTTTTTTTCATTTCTTCACACTTCACTTCAATTAAGAAAATTAAATCTCTAAATAGCATCTTCACAAAATTTTTGCATATCATATATCTGTTGGTATATTTGTTTTTAGAATTAACTTTGATATTATAAGTGGCAACTACAATAGTTAAAAGGGCTCCCTTTTATAGACGGAGGGATGAGAGTCAAGACAACATATTATTATTATTACACACGTACACACTTTTCTTAAAGTGAAAGTGGATATGACAGAAACAAAAGTAAAAGTAGAAGCTAATCTGATCAAAGTAGACAATTCTATCAAAAAGTAAAAGTTACTTTTGATAAAGATATTCAGAAGCAAAGTTGATATTGACAAAAGCAGTCATGATTGGGCAAAAGAAGGTTCTTAATGTGATTGAAGATAAGGTTTTAATCACATTATGGATGCTCCCTTGATTAAAAGACATATTGAGCCATCTCTTTTTTTATTTCCTAAGCCACTTGGCTGAAAGGCTTTCTATTTTATCTTTATCAAAATTTTCATCCATATCTTTTTGTTCTTTAGATGACCCAAGGGTGAGAAAGTCTCTTGTCTTTTAAAACTGTTGGTTGAACTGAGATTTGATTTCATAAGGGTCCTAACTACCTAGAGAAGGAAGACTCAGAAGAGATCCTATCTTTTGAGATGATTGTGTTCCATGATAAGATTCCATCCATGCAGAGTAGCCTTGTTGAACAACAATGATGGAAAGCCATTCTGGAACTGATATTATAGAGATGGTGATTGATCATCAAGGAAGATAGGTTGATGTGAAATAGAACCAAAAGATGTACGTCTGATGTTAGGATCTGCACTCAGGAAGTTGTCATTTCACGTAAAAAATGATTTCAATTAGATAAAATCAATTTTTCATGTGATAGCCAATTAACTGAAGTCTTCCATAAATATGCATGGTTGACAACATAAAGATTCTCATGGCTATTTGGATGGCAGGGACGATAAACAATAAAGAATTAATAAGCCCTCTATTCATTCAATGATACCTTCCATAAACTATATTTTCAATTACCTGGGAAAGTTCTTTATGCCATCCGGGTAATAGTGAGAACCATTCAAGGAAATTTTAGAGATTAGAACCTTTATTAACAGAGTCATGGTGATTATGATAAATAATCAATGGTGGGAAGGCTAAGGCACATGCAAAGGGAATTAAGAGGGACCAAAGATACCACATGGCTTCTTCTGGTATAAGACCTTTAATATAAGGTATGGCTAGGTATGGGGTTTGAATGTCTAAAAATTCAAGCTGTGGTTGGATTTGGGTTTTTTTAAAGGAGAAGGTAAAGCCAAAAGAACAAACTTCTTTTTTCTAATTGATGAACTTCAGGGACAATTTTAGGATTAAATCTTGAAAGGAAAAATAATTGTTTGGGCATGATGTTAAGGATGAAAAGTTGTTAGTTATATGATGGTGTTATGACCTGGACTTTCTTTAGCTTGGTGAGGTAGTCTACACTGATATTATAGTTTCCTTTGATGTGTTTAACTATAAATTTATGCCAAGAGAAGCAGTCTTTCCATTAAAAGAGTTGAGCTTTAGGAAGTATCTTCTTATTTTGATCAAGAATCATTGAAAATAATATGTTGTCTATTTCTACCACAAAGTGGTAGGGGTTAAGATGAAAATTGAATTTCTCTATGCCACATTTCATAGTTAGGACTTCTTTGTAAGCTATGTGGCAATGCTTTTCAGAGAGTTTGAATTCTTCATAGCATGACCAAAGTAGTATCTTTTCCCATTTTCTTTTTCAATAAGTACTGCTTCTCAATAGTCATTACTTGCATTAGTTTGCAAAATCCTTTGTCCTTTATCCTTTATCAGGAATCCTCAATGTTGGAGAATGCTGACAAATCTGCTTTCAGTGCTGAACAATTTTTGTCTAGATAGACCCTCAAGGTGGCGGATTTTTCCTCAATAGCTTGAACCGCTGATTAGTGTGATGTCACACCTAAGGGATAAAGTCTTTGATGTAATTTACTACGCCCAAGAACTATTGGATTTGAGTTCTAAATAAGTTTTATCAAGAAAATTTAATAATTTTTAGCAATACGTGGATTGGGATGGTACTATCTATCTTGAATGATCATTACTAGAAATTCTATCTGGGTTGCACTAATATGACCTTTACGGGCTGAAAGAATAATCTCATACTGCTAGATTATCTTGTAGAATTGGGCTAATTGATCTTTATGTTCCTACGTATTTTCTAAGAACAACAATATGTCATCTATATAGACTAGGTGTTGTTTATTATAGGTTTAAAGATACGGATCATAGTCTTTTAGAATAGTAATAGATAGTCTTTAGCCCAAAAGGCATAATTGTCCATTGATATTAAGCATTAGGAATGCAGAAGGCTATCTTGTATTGGTCTGCTGTGTAACGTTTTAGAAAATTTAACCCTTAATTAACTAAGTAAATAAAGTTAATTATGTAAATTAATATGGTGTGTAGTTATAAAGAGATAACAAAAGTTTTGGGTTGTAATTTCAACCCTAAGATTGAGTCTGGAGCAAAATCAGACTACCTAAACATCAAAAAGTGATAAAAATAACGGGGAATAACTTTATACCACATGCCATAGCACGTGTATAGCATGCCATGGCATACAAGTCACCAAGAAGCATGGAAGGCCTCTCTATATCATATGTCGTGACACATGATGCATACACCGTGATGTGTGGTCAAATTTTTAGTTTATTAAACATGAAATTTGATATGAAAACCAAAGGAAAGAAAGAGTTTGAACAAGAAGAAGGGAAAACCTAAGGGAGATCTACTAGGGTTTAAAAGATTGAAGCATTGAGAGGGTTTTGAAGTTCTAAATACTAAAGGTAAGTTTCCTACGCTTAAATCTCTCTTTTCTCTTCTATTTTTTTAATATGAAAGTTAAGGTTTGTTAGAAAGGATGGCTTTTGGTCTATAGAAGCCATGAGTTTGAACCTATTAATTTAAATAAAGTTAATAAGAGTTCTTTAAGTTATTTAATCCTAACATTTATGGCGTTGTGAGTTTTGGTAGTTATGGAGTAATAAATACTCGAAATTTCACTATAAATGAGGTGGTTAGAGCAATCTGAAGTCATCAACTGCTAGTTAGGAGTTTAATGAAATTAATATGAGTCAGAGGAAGCTAATAAACCATACAGGTACCTTTTCATATAAGGAAATTGAATTTTGAGAGTGTCGAAGTGTTGGATTA